AGCGCTTTCTGTCGTCACGTGCGAGCAGCGCCAATCGACCGGCGCCGCCTGCGAATCTGGTACGTGCAGGGGGCTTTCGAGCAGCGGGACTGACAGGTTCCAGTCTTGTTCGTCGTCGTCGCTAAAATCGCGGCACGTGCTGAACGGATTATTATCCGTGAATGCCCCAATCGGATGACGGGCTGGCTCCAGGGACGGTGTGCGCTCGCGGGGACGGTGAGATCCGCTTGTCATGGTCATGTTGCCGATGACATTGCGGACTGGAGCGGATTGTGACTACTGCTGTCGCTAATGCTGAACCGCTGTGTTCAGGCTGCGCGATGGGGGTTGGTACCCCTGGGCTTGACGCGTGTCATTTCGTGCGTCTTTTCGGCCGGACGAGGTGCTCAGATTGGTCTGGCGAGGGCGAGATCGGTATTTACATCGATCCGCCAGGTGCCCGAAATTTCTGCAGATTTTGCAGTAGAGGCGCCGCGGCCGCCACTCTTCTGTCTTGTCTGCGTAGAAGGCGAGGCGTTCCCGGTCACGTCACGGCGCTGGTCGCTGCTGGTCCATGTCTCTTTGTTTGACGAATAGGGCGGCGCATAGGGCGGCCTCCGAGATGACCCCCTGCTGTCGGAGAAGCGCCTTACAGGGCCGCCACTCTGGGCCGAGCCCTTGGAGCACGATGTTCATGAAGATCTCCTTTGAGATCGTGCTCCCCTGTTTCGTGATTTGATCGCGTAAGCTCCGACAGCGGTTGATGTAGCTGTTGGCCTTCTCCCCTGGGGCCATTTTTGTCTCCAGTAGCTGCTGGAGCAGGCGGCTCGAAGAAACCGAGTCCTTCGGTTGGTACACGCCATTTAGGTGCCGCCAGGCGTCAAGGGCTGGGGCAGACGATGTCTTGTACGATCGGCTGTTCCGCCGGCAACATGTTTATTAACAGAACGCCGTACGCCATCAGGGATTCGTTGTAGTACTGCGCTCTGGCGTCGGCGGTATCGTCAGCAGGCCCAGCGTAGCTCCCGTCTAAATAGTGAAAAATCTGCGTGTTTTGCAACAGCAACTCCAGCTCGAAGCTCCATGTGTAAAAGTCTCTGCCGTCAAAACACCCACTTGTCTTTATTTTTGATATGTTGGGAAACCTTGATTGCGCAAAGAGAATTGCTTCTTCGCTGGGACGGGGAGTCTTGGGGGTTGAGCCATTATTGTCAAGGGAGAAGGTGTGCAGGGCGGTATGTTGACCGTTCAGGGTCTGTTGAGAGGGTTGGGAAGATGTTCCCGCGTCGCCATTCCGCAATGTTTGGAGTCCTTGCTCCAACTTTGTAAGTCGCTGAAGCAGTTGTTCGAGGACCGCGGTGCCAACGGTTGTCGTTGCCTCGTTTGTCGCAACCAGGTTGGGTTGCGCTTCAGCCGTCAGATTTGTCTGACCTCCTGATCCTCCGGCCATTCTTACGCGTGAGTGTGTGCCGGACGCCACTTTAGTTCGCCGATGATTTCGGTCGTGGCGTTGCGAAGGATTCCCGAGTTGCTCTCTTACCATGCTGCGATCAGAAGTTGATCGTGGCCTAGGATCGTCTCGAGAAGTTTCGCACAGAGTCGTGGAATTGGTGGTGGGCCCTTAACCTCAATTCAGAGTGAATGTAAAATGATTGAGATTATAAAACATGAAACAAGAGCACATAGGTAGAAGTACATGGGAATTCAAAGCGACCTAGCTAGTCATGTACTCTAAGGGGTACATTCCCTTATTTGAATTCAAACCCAACCGTGCGACTTAAACAGTTACGAAATTGTTCCCGCCAATTCCTCCTTCTTGCAACTGCCGATGCCGTTTCATGCCGACGGTCCCGATGAATCCAACGGACTGCGCCGCTTCGAGTCATTTCTGCTTTTTTCGCTCTCCCAGCTTAGATACTGTGTGATTCGTTTGCTACTGTTAGGAGTGCGTAGTTCTTAATTCACCATTTGTAACACAACATATTAGAGTAGTGCAGTAGCTACAGGATAACCCGAATTGAGCTTATCTTGAATACGTCTTGAACAAGTCTTGAACAACTATGTACCGCGCCCTGGAAATCAGGCACTACTGCACTTAACCGGCGATACCTCACCGCATCCCTTGAACTGATTAAGTAGTTAACCGATCTACAGATAAAAGCGCATTACAGAAAAAAATAATAATAACCCTTACTGTATTTGACCACGCTGAAAACAAAAATAGTCAGTTGAGAGCTGAGACTGACCTTAGCAACCACCAGCCATGTGAACCTTCTGTTTTGACAACGTCGACGTAAAGGTCGCACGGTGGCGCAGACGAAGGCGGCAGCGACGGCAAGACTCGCGAGAGGTCTAAGACAAGACGCTGACTGGACATAGTGCGTAGACGGGGAAGAGAGGGGTGACCAAGTCGCTGATGCCACAGGACGGTGGGGTGGGCAAGCGACCGACACGAGCACGACGCAGCAACCTGACCGGACACGGTAACCTGACCAGACACAGCTACCTGGGGGGACGCAGCTACATGGCGGGACGCTGGGACCTGACAGGGGCCCAGTGTGGAGCGTGTATATTCCAGAGCCCGGCTCCTGGTGAAAAGTGGCCAGGGGGGCGTACGTGTCACCGTCTACACAAGTCGCGAAGTCCCTAGAAGGCTCAAACGAGACACCAACGTGCTGACTCACAAGAGGCCTCACGCCCACCAAGTTCCTCGAGAACGAGGGGATGTAGAGGCCTGTCAGGGAAATTGAGGGGGCGGCTGGGCACGGGAGCGTAGTAGAGTGGCGAGCAATGACTGGTCCCGAAGTGGGATCAGCCAGTGCTATAGAGACCGGTGCAGGAAGCGGAGTAAGAGTCGTGTGGTCGCGGAAGAAACACTGCGATGCACCGGAGTCCAGCGTGAAAGACAGCGACGAATCCTCCGAAGTGGTACCTAGACTAGCGCCTTAAAAAACACCTACACTAGCAACGGGCACAGGATCAACACTAGCACCTAAGCTCTGAGCACGTGAACAAACGGATCCAGGAGCACTATAGTCAACATCAGCATACATAGCATGCACAGATCCTAACAGATCAAGCAACTGAGGTGCAGACATGTCCTACAACGCAGGACCGTGCGAGTGAACAAGAGAGAGCCAGTCAGGTGCAGGGCCGTCTGCGTCTTACGCCGCACGAAGATGGTAATTGAGTTGAGCAAAGCACTGACCTGGTGGGTGACGACGGCCGCAGCGGTAGCCACTACAAGTACCGGTCTGAATGAAGTACGGGCAGGGCGGGTGGGCGTCGCCACGTGATAGCTAACGCTGGCTCGGACACTGCTGCTGTACCTGCAGCTGTTACTGCTGCTACTGTTGCTGTTGCTGCTGCTGCTGCTGCTGAGCCAGGTACCAGGCTGCCCACTCCTGCGCCTCCGGCTAGCAACCCTGCAGGTCCTTGACCACCCCTAGTGTCACCTCCACCAGCCGTAGCAGGCGAGCCACTAGTGGGTGCACTAGGCTCGTCGCCAGCTCCTCCGCCCCCTCCGCCACCAGTGGCCGCCCCACCTCCGCCGCCTCCGCTACCTCCGCTACTGCTCGCACCCTTCGCCCCTCCTGCCACCCCTGCCTCTGAACCTCACAGAGGTCGCGACAGTGGCCGCAGTCTCATCAGTCGCGGTAGAGGCAAGGGAGGCAGTAAAGGTGGGCAGCTGTGGGACAGTGCACCCCTGAAACAGTGGGAGCGGCACAGCGCCCGAGGCGGAAGCTACCGAGCGGAGGTTGCTCTCAACGTCCTTGAACGCAGACTCACGATCGTCGATAGTAAGCTCGCTAGGGTGCTTTAGGAGAAGCGCGTTGCGAATAGTGGCAAGGCGGTTAGGGAGGCTAGTAACGTGAAAATAAATAGTGATCGGCATAGGGGGGGGAAGCAGTGCGAGCTGTGCGTCGGTACAGGCAGCGCGGAACTCGAGTCCAGTGAACGCAGGTGAGAGATCAAGTCTGCAGAGCGCTCAAAGGAGGCGAGGTCGGGAAACAAGAACGGGAGGAACAGGCGACCAAGAGAGACAGTGGTGGGAGTGGAGTAGCGGGCCTGAATCGGAGTGAGGAACTCTCTAGCAGAGCGAACCTGAATGAAGTGCGCCTCCTCAGGGAGGAGGCTTCTGAGGGCGATGTATGCCGCTGTGTCACGACACTTCCAAGCTGTAAGGGCAGCGCGCTCTCGTCCAAAGCGCTCCCTGTCTGCATCAGTGGGGTCAGCGCCTAGTGCAGCTGGGATAGGCGGCGTAAAGATATCACTGGAGGCGTGTGCCCAGAGTGTCTCGTCAGCCTGACACTCACTCTCTAGTAGGCGCTGCGCACGAAGGACCAGACTGAGAACTCAAGCGGTCTACCCTCGCCATCGAAGCGAAGAATTCTAGGGGGCTCCATAGCTGACAAGGTAGGGGGGAGATGCGGCTGCCAGCCGCCGAGAAGGCCTGAGCAGGGCGGGCAGGCTGCGCACGGCACGGGCGGAAGGGCGCAGGGGGCAGGGTGCGACGGGCAGGACGTAACGAGCGCTACGGGCAGGGCGCAACTGGCGCTAAGGGCAGGGCACAACGAGCACTAAGGGCAGGGCGCAACGGGCGCAAAGGGCAGGGCGCAATGGGCGCTACGGGCAGGGCACAACAGGCGCTAAGGGTAGGGCAGTACGAGCGCTACGGGCAGGGCGCTTAGGGCAGGGCGCAACGGGCGCTAAGGGCAGGGCGCAACGGGCGCTACGGGCAGGGCGCAACGGGCACTACGGGCGCAATGGGCGCTACGGGCAGGGATCCTAGTCTAACCTAGCTGATACCATCTCAGAAAGGGAACGGGATGGTGCCACTACAATCAGTTGGGGTACATGTAGCAAACCCTAATGTTTGTACCCCACATGACAAGCCTCACTACGGTTTATCACATTTGACAGTCATCTACATTATGTCCAGCAGAAAGAAAGCTCAGTAACTCCTCGTACAGTACTCCATGAATGCAGATTCAGCACTGTAACAAACATCGAAGGCCCTTCTAGAGCTTCTCCATTATCACACACCAATTAGATTTGTCGTAAAAGCTCTCAACAACTGATGCACCACCAATCCCTGTGATAAGCCTGCACAGAACACCAAGAATAACATGAGGAGAAAAAAAAAAACAAACAAACAAACAAACAAACAACAGCAGCAGCAGCAAGCACACCATGACATGACACTTACCGCTCCAGCTCTCCTCGGGTGAAAACATAATAGTATCGGTTGTACACCACCGACCCCTTGGCTTCATCCCGCCGAGCAAACCCCGAGGCTACGTGCTGGGCCGCCGCTGCCGAGCCTATTTCCACTCGATGACATGGCAGGTGCCACGGGACCAGAAACTCCTGGGAAGCTTCTGCTCCTGTTGATTTCCCTTGCTCTGATCCCCCTCCTGGCCTTACCGCTCCTGACCCTACTCCTTCTTGCTCTGGAATTAAGTTCTTGCCACCTGGTGCACTTTGCTCACTCATCCCTTCCCTCGCTGTTGCTCTCTCTTCTCCTGGAATCTCTTTTCCTTCCTTATTCCTCCTTGACTCTGTATTTTCCTCGCTGCCGGTCTCACTTTCCTCCTCAATCCCTCCCAGTCCGCCTCCCATCCTCCCTTTCCTCTCCCCTCCCCTCTCCTCCCCTCCTCCGCCCGCCTCCACATCCCCCACCCACCTATCCGCCATCCGGCCAATCAGCGGCGTCCACTTGTCAAGCAGACCTGGATTCTCCTGCTCCCTCGCCCACACAGTCACCAGCACTCTCCCCCCTCTCCGCACCACCCTAAGCATCTCTTTTAGAGCGTGTTTCCGCCGAGCCTCAGATGACAAGTGGTGCAAAACGGCCACAGAAATCGCTGCGTCGAAGCGCGAGGAAGCGAGGGGGAGCGAGAGGGTATCGGCCACAAAGGCCTCAAAGCCCCGTTGAGTGCAAATGGAGACGAGAGGCGGGCTGATGTCGCAGCCAATCAGAACGGCCGGTGGGCGGGGAGGGGCAGCAGAGGAAGCAGAGGAGGGAGGGGAGGAGGTGGAGGAGGAAGGAGTGGAGGAGGAAGGAGTGGAGGAGGAGGACGGAAACGGGGAGGAGGAAGTGTGGGTTGAGAAAGAGGAAGACGCAGAGACAGAGAGAGAGGCAGCAGGAGGGAGAGCAGGCGGGATAGGCAACCCCCCATTGAGGTACTTCCCATTGCCGCAGCCGGCGTCGAGAACAAGCGAGCCCGGGGGGAGGGAGAGCAGGAACTGGGTGACCTTGGGCCAGCGCGCGAAGCGGGTGGCGCTGAAATGCGGCGCTATGGCGTTGTATACCTTGTGGACAAAGTCTCGTTCGACTGCCGGGGTGGTTTGAGGTGAGTCGAGAGTCTTGGACGGATCCACAGAAGGGGGAATGGCGTTCGCTTTCGCACACTCCTCCACTCTCTCCTCTGCTCTCTCCTCCTCCTCTGCACACTCCTCCACTCCCTCGTGTGAGTGCGTCAACACAGGTTCCCCACCGTTCCCTCCTTCTGCTCGCTGCTCTTCCTTCCTTTCCTCCACCTCCTCCTCCTCCTCTCCACACTCCGCCACTCCCTCGTGTGAGTGCGTCACCACACTCCCTCCAAGGCACCCACCTCCCACTCTCTCCTGCATCCCCTCACTTCCCTTCTCCTTCACCAGCAATCCCTCTGCACCTGTTCCCTCCACCAACAATCCCTCACATTCGGTCGCCCGGCCCCGTTCTGACACTATTCCGTTTTCGGCAACACTTTCCATTCTGGGAGCATCGCAAAACTCAGGGTAAGCACACCCGCACGGGCCGAACCGAACCCTCCGGAAGGTGTAGGAAACGCGGCGAGGAGCACGCGGGAAATCCTGGCCATTGACGTGGTCGATCTTGTGGTTGGGAATGTAGTGGGACCAGGCGTATCGGGCCTCACCTGTAAGGACTAGGAGGGAACGGGGGGGTAGGAAAAGCACTCTCCTGTCCTCTGTCCTCTTCTCAACTCCTTTCTTCTCCTCTGCTCTCTGCTCCTCTGCTCTCTCCCCCTCTGCTCTCCGCTCATCTGCTCTCTTTCCCTCTGCCCCTGGTTCTGCTCGTTCCTTCGTTTCTCCCGCTGTTGCTTCTTCTGCTCCTCCTTTCACTGACCTCCCATCATTGCAGCTGCTGCTGTTGCTGCTGTTGCTGCTGTTGCTGTTGGCTGACACCAATAGCAGCATTATTGCTTCTGCTATTGCCGTCGCTGCTGCAACAGGCACTGCCACTGCCCCCACTGCTTCCACTCCGTTCACTGCTCCCGCTGCTCCCACCAACAACTTTCTTCTTTCCAAGAGGCTGTTTCCCCACGGGTTGCGGCCCCAGGGGTCTCCTGAATTCCATTATCGCAGGGCCAGCCAGGGAGAGTGAGAGCACAGCGCCTTCAAACGCGGCATGGGTGTCGATGTGAGGAGCTAGGCCCACCCCTGCTTCATATTCGTTGATCTGCAAGGTGGAGGTAGAAAAGGAGGGGGAAGGTTGAGGGAGAGTGAGAGAACAGCTCCCTCGAATGCAACATGTGTGTCGAGTCGATGTGTGGAGCTAGGCCCACCCCTGCCTCGTACTCGTTGATCTGCGCAGGGAGGGAGGGAGAAATGAGTGGAACGCTGAAGGAGGAGGGGGAGAGGCTATGCAGGTGACGATGTGTGTTGTGGACCCCACCCCTTGATAAGATCGGAGGGGACTATGCAATGCGCTTTCGACACTTATCATGAACGCATATTCATCATTCTCATGGGATGATGATCTCAAACCAATCCAAACACGCCTTGACGATCTCACCGTGAGTTGATCCAGCGGCATGCAAACTTCTGAGCAGCCTGTGAGCTCGGGCAGCTGTTCTGCCCGAGAAACAAAGTCCGACACTGCTGCAGGCAGCGGGCCGATCCACTTGTCTTTTTCAATGTCTCGCGTCTTAAATGAGGAAGGGGAGAAAGGGAGGGACAGAGGAGAGAGGAGGGGGGGCGGAAGGAGGGGTAGTTTCATGTTTAAGGCTCCTAACGATTAATTTAAACTTATATTGCATACAGTGTAGTTCAAGGCATAGCCGTGGTGCTGCCCACAGTACCATACTCGATATGATGGAATAACCGTGTAGTAATGTAATGCTATGCATACAGTGTAGTTGAAGGCGTATCCGTGGTGCTGCACGCGCCTCTTTGTCAGATAATGCCAATCGTTGCCATCCGCGAAATCCAAAAGGCTCTGCTAGTATGATGGTGCGGGAAGAAGGGAGGAGAGGGGGAGGAGTTGATAAGGGAAGGAGGGGGAGGAAAGAAAGAAGAGGGGAGAACCAGTTTGACCAGTGTTCTGAGTCAACTCAAAACCCCGTGTTCTTGTAAGTGGTGTGTCCAAGCCTTAAACCCTGAGCCCGTCCCCTCTCACGCACGCTCCATCATTGAAGTGACAGAAACGAGGTGGAAAGACATCCCTGCTCTGGCACTGTAATTGTAAGAAAGCAACAGCTATTTACGCCTTGAACCCTGAACCCTCCCCCCGCACCCTCTCACCTGCTCCATCTCGGGCGTGACAAAATCGAGGTGCAGGAACAACCCCGGTATAGCGAGCGCGTCGACATTGTGGTGTACCACCGGATGCTCCACCTGCTCAGGAAGTAAAAAAAAAGAGCAGAAAACGGTAAAACCCCGAACCCTGACTAGTCCCAGATCTGATGAGAACCGGCCAGCACACCCCTGACATCGTATTGGACCGTACCGGCGCGGACCGCTTCCCAACGGCGAACTGGATGTGCATCTTTCTTCCGCCCGCTTCCGCGCAGGGCTTTCCGCTCAGCGCCTGCAGTGCTGCTTCCGCCGCGGCGGAGGCCGCCGCGCGCGTGCTCCCGCCGAAAACGACAAAACAGCGGGTGAGGTTCGCGGCGCCGGCGGGGATGACGCGGCGGACGTGGCCGAAGGAGGAGAACACGTCAGCAAGGGCTGCATACGTCATCTCCGCCTCAGCACCGCAGTTTGCCACGTAGAGATACGGCGTGGGCGGCGGATTCGGGCCCTTGGGCCGGGTGAAGAAAAGAGAATCTAACCCCGCGTCGCTCTCGTAGTTAATCTCCTCGTCAGCCATACTGCGGAATGTCTCTGTGCGCGTCGAGCCCGTGCGACGCGGTATCGAACTGTTAATGTTCTAGCTAAGTGACAAAGACCTAAAGATAAGGGCTGGTGGGCACCGCCTATGCGCTGTTCGAGGACCTTCGACGGAAGTCGGTGAGGTATGCGAAGGCATTTGGAGGAGGGAAGGGTGTATGGGAGCACAGGACGACCAAGATGCCAAATGCGTTGGGAACAGAATGTATTAGGCGACCAAGGTAATTCACCTTGAATTACCGGGAGAAGTTTTGCAGACTTGGGGTTACAGGATGCGAGTGACGGATAGAATCGGGTTTGATTCAGTCGGGGAAGAAGGATTAGGGACAGCGAGCTTGACAAGTCAAGAAGTGGCGAAATATTTTTTGGTAGCTTTTGTTTCGCGAACATCCGCGAGGTCCTTTTCTTGTTTCGGTCGCTGCGCCCTTCATTTCGTCAACGCTCACTACAGTCATCTCGCTTGCTAGCCATCTCGCCACGAAAACCCTCTTTTGCCTGGTCAATTGGCCTCAACCACGAAACTTTACCGTGAGGCGCTCCGCGTTTCGATTTCACAATCTTCTCGATTTTCCGAATCTTGTTTCAAATTCGCGCCTCGGCCGCTCGCCGAAAAGTCTCTGGCCCGTTCAGAAGTCTTTCACTGGAAAACAACGCCATCTTGAGTTGAGAACCTCAGGACGGTTATGCCTCCTACTCACGCTTCCTTGCTTGATCCGAATCACTGCTACAGGCTGGCGAGATCAATACAGGGTGTAGAGGTTTGTACTGCCATTGCTATAGCTCAAAATAGACGAAATGTCAAGCTATGCTGAAGTCAGTTCGATAACCATGGTGCCTTCACTGAATAAGCTTTCAGCTCGCAGCTTCAATGCAGAACTTGGCCTGATGAGGCGGAAATTTCCCAGCGGTGGTCAACAGAGAATGCTCGACGCACGCGGTTCGACTCTACCAGAGAAAGATACGGGCTAGCTTTTCCTCACTCTGATGCTTTTCTCCGTTCTTTTACCGTCGGTGGTTTGAGTCGACTCAAACCACACGTTTGTCCGCCCTTCTACCGTTCTCGGCCAAGTCTTCCGCATGGTAGCTTCGGCACCGCTTTGTGCACCGGCGTTTAGAGCGCAATCACCGATTTTAAATCTAACATATCGCCTCGATTATGTCACCACGAGAGGAGCTGGTGCCGATGCTAACGCTTGTAGCGTGTATAAAAGGCCGCCGAAACCTGTCCGTCCAGCACGCTTGCTCATCTCTCGTCTCTCGTCTCTCGAGACCTCTCGCCCGACGGTCAATATCAGCACTTCAACTCTTGAAACGCTTTCAGAACTCGCTTCAAGCCAAGACGAATCAGTCGGGTCAGACTAGTACTAGCGCGCCGCTATCCAGCGTGACGCATCAAGTCGATTCCGAATCAGTAACGCGTCGCAGCGTTCCGTTGATCATTCTACAAATTCCGTTGAACAAAGAAGGATCCACGGCTAGCACTCCGTCTTCAGAACGAACTTTTCTTCGATCCGCCATGGAACTCCGCCCGCTTCGCCTCTCCTTGCTCCTCCTCCTCCCGCTCCTCCTCCTCTCCTCCCCTCCCCTTTCCGCTGCTCAATCCACGCCCTCTAATCTCCCTACCATGGCCAGCACCAGCAGCACCAGCAGCACCACCAGCAGCAGCAACGGTGTTACCGGAAGCAGCGCCGCTTATCCTGCAGTTTTTGCTGCCGTAACTAATGCGAGGAGAGGGGTGGGCGGAATGATGAGGGGCGGGGGAATCCCCGGACTGCCCTCTCCTTCCGAAGTCACCATTCTTGATGGTTCCGCCACCCCTGGTTCCGCCACCCCCGGTTCCGCCACCCCTGGTTCTGCCACTCCTGGCTCCGCCACTCCTGGTTCCGCCACCCCTGGCTCCGCCACTCCTGGTTCCGCCACCCCTGGCTCCGCCACGTTCGAACCGCTGCCGATCCGACCTCCTCCATCGCCGCCTGCTACTTCTGCTGCTGGTGCTGCTGGCAGTGGCAATACCCCTGGTGCTGGCAATGCTGCCAGTGGTGCTGCTGCTGCTGCAGCAGCTGGTGCGGTGGTAGGAGGTTTGGGAGGCGTGACAAGCGGTGCAGCCATGGGAGGGTTGGCTGGGAAGACGGTTGGGAAGGGGAAGGGATGGAAGGAGGCGGAAGCAGGGATCATCGGTGCCGCTACTGCAGGGGGACTGGGGGCGCTTGGGGGATCTCTGGGGGGAGGCTTGGCGGGAGGTTTGGGGGGGATTCCGCTGCTCCCTTCCCCTATCCCTGCTCTTCCGACTGCTGCCCTTCCTCCCCTCCCTTCTGCTGCCCTTCCTCCCCTCCCTTCTGCTGCCCTTCCTCCCCTCCCTTCTGCTGCCCTTCCTCCCCTCCCTTCTGCTGCCCTTCCCCCACTACCTTCCCCCTCTGCCAATACCACTTCCCCCTCGCTGCCTCTCCCTTCCCCATCTGCCAATACCACTTCCCCCTCGCTGCCTCTCCCTTCCCCATCTGCCAATACCACCTCCCCCTCTCTGCCCCTCCCTTCCCCCTCTGCCAATACCACCTCCCCCTCGCTGCCTCTCCCTTCCCCATCTGCCAATACCACTTCCCCCTCGCTGCCTCTCCCTTCCCCATCTGCCAATACCACCTCCCCCTCTCTGCCCCTCCCTTCCCCCTCTGCCAATACCACCTCCCCCTCTCTGCCCCTCCCTTCCCCTCTGCCAATACCACCTCCCCCTCACTGCCCCTCCCCTCCCCTTCTGCCAATACCACCTCCCCCTCACTGCCCCTCCCTTCCCCCTCTGCCAATACCACCTCCCCCTCTCTGCCTTCCCCTTCCCCCTCCGCCAATACCACCTCCCCCTCACTGCCCCTCCCTTCCCCCTCTGCCAATACCACCTCCCCCTCACTGCCCCTCCCTTCCCCCTCTGCCAATACCACCTCCCCCTCTCTGCCTTCCCCTTCCCCCTCCGCCAATACCACCTCCCCCTCACTGCCACCCCCCTCCCCCTCCGCCAATACCACCTCCCCCTCACTGCCTCTCCCTTCCCCATCTGCCAATACCACCTCCCCCTCGCTGCCTCTCCCTTCCCCCTCAGCCAACACCACAGCCACCCCAGCACCGCCCCCCTCTTAGAATGGCACGACTATCCCATACCACACCGCTTCCCCCTTCCTCCTCCTCACTGTCCCCTACAGATCAACCACATCAGACCACCCCCAACGACCCCCCCTCCACTGCCAGTGATCCCAACTCTTCCCGCCCTTGGCTCATCTCCTTGAAGCAGCTCGGTGTAAATACAAGTCTCAATATAATTTTGTCAGGGTAAATCGTTTGAGAATTTCCTGTGTACAAAGTAGACAAAATGTGTATGTTTATATGAGACATCTATAACGGTTCTCTATCCATTCAACAGAAGTATCATCAATCAAGTACCAAACCATTATCCGCTTGTTGAGCTACACAGAGGAAAACCATGATTCCAGAGAATTGGGCATGACAAATTTTTGCTGGTGCTTCTCTTCGGCAATGCCATTTGAACGGGCTTGTTGGAGGTATGAAGAGAAGGGAAAGAGGAAGGCGGAAGGAGGAGACATATGCACCTATTGAATGGAGGGGAAGAAGAAAGGAAGAAGAAAAGGGCTTGGTCAATGTCAGAAACGCACAGCTCCATTCTGTTTTTGGTGTAGAGGGTGCTGCTGTGGAGCAACATATACCGTACTCCTATTGAATGGATCAAGAGGTTGTTCATGAGGTGTTTGGGTGAGACGTGGAGTGAAAGAGCAGTTCAAATCCTATCCAGAGGCCTGGAGATAATGCACCAACATGATTCCCATACGATAATGCACACATGAAAATGCAATTGAAAACTTAATGAATGGTACTACAAGGTGGTGAAGAGCAGCAGGCGGTAGAGAAAATAGCAGGTGACACTTGCACTCAACTACTTCTGTGTGTAATACAGCAAGACAATTTGGGTGTTTTAATGTGTATAGAGTTTGCATTGACGAATTTACAGGTTGTCAGAACGAGGGCTCTCGCCTTGTCGCACAAGCCGTTGTGAACAACTATTTGCGCAGCGCACGTCGTCGAATCGCGAGGCCGTTTTCGTCGTTCACGAATTTATCAATTTCCTAAGTTTCCAATCATACATCCCTGGTAGACCCTACTCCCTTCCCCTCCCTCTCAATTCCCTAAGGGCGTGGGCAGCGCGTTCATTTTCCCCACTTTTACAAAATTTGGACGCCCGTCGAATCTGGAGGTTACTGTAGCTTTTTTGCACGCGCTTAGTTTGTGTCCCAGGTGGGACACGCTCGTCCAAATTTAGGCACAGAACCCGCCACACTTTTGCCAAACCGCCCACCCAACAAGGTAACCCTGTGCCTCCGAATTGAAGGTGGCAAAAATTCGCGCACACCAGACACTCGAGTGGGTCTCGGAGGTTTTGACCTGGTGGATCTGGCTACGGGGCGCGGTAGGAATCTATATTTGTGAACCCTTGGATTTGCGAGGGTCGTACGCGCTTGACGAAGTCGTGGTGCGGTTTCGCTGACGTTTTCACACGCTTTCTCAAATGATGCGCGGGTTGTTCGCGGACGTTGTGGGTACGTGTTTTGTTCGGTTGACGGCACGGAAAACAGCCACAGTTCATCCACTGTATACTCCGTCGTGTCCACGCATTACCCTAAATCGGGGTTACAAACCGCTGAATGAGGTAACTGTTTCGGGCTAAGCCAGGAAAATGAACGCGCTGCCCACACCCTAACCATTTCCCTTTCCCATCACATCACAACTGGTTTCAGAAAGCTGGCATTCCGTTGAAAGTACCGAAAGAGCATAACAGAACTGAAGGCCAAGCATACAGGTCTTATAACATGGCTGCTTCCTTTCTGGCTTGTTCTTTCTTTAGCCTGGATTTTCACTTCCAGCTCTCGTCTTCTTCTGTTCGCCGCGGTACCCCTGGTGCTATTCCATATCACGCACCAGTACACGTCGTTTGCACTTCTAAGTAGACTTACTATGACGATCGACGTCATTCCGCCTCGAAAAGTGCACCGCAAAGTGGTCATTTTAACACGTGTGCGCCGTGGTGCTTTAGACATGGGAGGCTGGCCCATACCAGAGGGGGGTAACAAGGTGATCGAGGACGCCACAGCTGCAAAGTAAGAATACCGATTCAAACGCAAATACAGCCTTTTTTTTCGCCCCCTTCGACCACTCGCGCCTCTCGCTATCTCCTGGTGTATTTTGAGTCGACTGAAATCACAACATTGCGAGGAGAAGGTGCCGATTCAAAGGCAAATCCAGCCAAAAGTTTCCCTTCTCTTTGACATTAGCGCGCCTTGCTATCTCCGCCGCCACATGCGGTCGATTCCTTGGCTTCTCTGCTTATTGAAATATTTCTCTGCTCAGAAACAGGAAGGACTCCCTGTCGCAGCGACCGCATATGTACTCCAGCGATTCCTCCCGCTGCAGATGGCACACACCACGTTCCAACTCGATCTCCTTCCCATCCGCAGGTCGTTTCGGTGGTTCACGATACAAACACTAGAGCTTCGATCGTTGCCTCCCATGGAGGGAGTATAACAGCCTCCCAGGCTATTGATTCCCGTATTGACGGGTGCGAACCCAGCCCCAACTAGAGCCATTTCGAAGGTTCGAAACGATCGGTGTAGCGTCGAGAGCACCTTGTCTGAAGTCGATTCTTTTTCTTCTGAGAACCAAGGGGCGCACGACCGGAAAGCTGTCTGACTCTCCATAGATTCGCAAACAAATCCCTTTTCTCTCCGCTTTAAAGCAAAAATCAGATTCCGCGTCGCCTCTTTCGCCCAATCGTTTTCTTCGGTTCGCGCCTCGCTTTCCCTCCGTTCAGCTCGCTTCCGCCGTCCCCGTCCGCTCGCTCCCCGCCTCAATCTGACTCCTTCGCCCGCCATCTCCATTCTCTTCTTCCTCTTCCTCGTTCTCTCCTCCCTTCCGGTTTCACCCGCCCGCTCCCAACGCCCGCTGCTCATTCCCCGCCTCGACGATCCCTTTTCCACGCAGGGGGCAGTTCCGATATTTTCAGGGCCCGCCCCGCCCGCGTTCTTCCGTTTTTTCAACGAGCTGCCCGTTCACAAGACGGGGCCTCAAAAGTCGAGTTACCCGGTTACCTCTGTCGCCGATTCGTTAACCACACTCCCTGGCTCTGCCTCGGGGTTGACCGAACTGCTGAGACAAACACCCATTGGGGACCAATCAAGCCCTGACGAAAGTACTACTACTGGTGCAGATGGCAGTGGCAGTGGCAGTGGCAACACCTTGAGCAGCAGCAGCGGCGGCGCCGGCGCCGGCGGCGGAAGAGGGGGAGGAGGAGGAGGAACGACAGTGTACCAGTTTCAGACCAACAGTCAGACGGCGACGGTAACGGATTCTGGTACGGTTACGCAGAGCAACGTCCAGTCGGAAACGGCCTCTGGGACGCCGTCAGAATCATTAAGTTCTCCCAGCAGCAGCAGCGGCGGTGAATCACCATCAGCAGCACCAGCCCCGGCACCAGCACCAGCATCAGCATCGGCGTTAGTATCTGCTGCAGGGGGCGCATGGAGAAAGGGTGGAAAGGGCGGAAAGGGAGGGAAGAAGGGGAAGAAAGGGGAGAAAAAGGGTTTGAAGAAAGGCGAGGAGGTAGCTGTAGGGGCGATTTTGGCGGCAGCACGGGCGGCGGGACCAGCAGTAAGCGCAGCAGCCGGTGGAGCAGCGAGCGCAGCAGCCGGTGGAGCAGCGAGCGCAGCAGCGGGTGGAGCAGCGAGCGCAGCAGCGGGTGGAGCAGCGAGCGCAGCAGAGGCAGCAGCAAGCGCAGCAAATGCTACAGTTGCAGCAGTTGAGGCGGAAGCAGGGGCACTGGGGGAAACCTTTGCTTCCTCCATTACACCATCCCTCGCCAGTCCGCCATCTCCACCCGTATTGCTGCCCTGTGCGCCGCCCCTTCCCCCGCTTCCGCCTTTTGCTGCTCGATTCTTCGCCCCTGCTCCTCCCCCTCCGCCTTGCACTCCCTTTCCCCCGTTCCCGTCGCTCCCTACTGTTCCTTCCGCCCTCCCTCCACTCCCTTCCGCCCTCCCTCCGCTCCCATCCGCCCTCCCTCCTCTCCCGTCCGCCCTCCCTCCTCTTCCTTCTGCCCTCCCTCCTCTCGCTTCCGCCCTTCCTCCTCTCCCTTCCGCCATCCCTCCTCTCCCTTCCGCCCTCCCTCCTCTCCCTTCCGCCCTCCCTCCTCTCCCGTCCGCCCTTCCCCCAACACCTCCTCGGACTTTTGCCCGCCCCCCACTACTTTCCGCCCTTTCTCCGCTACCTTTTGCCCTCCCCCCTCGCCCGTCCGCCGTTCCCCCTCGCCCATCCGCCATTCCCCCTCGCCCGTCCGCCGTTTCTCCTCGCCCGTCCGCCGTTCCCCCTCGCCCTTCCGCTCTCCCTCGCCCTTCCGCTCTCCCTCCCATCCCGTCCGCCGCTTCCCCTCGCCCGTCCGCACTCCCTCCCCTCCCTTACCCCATCCCGCCTCAGCGTGCTGCTCCTCCACCTCTCCCACCACCCTCCTTTTCCCCCCTGCCCTCTCACGCCCTTTCCCCCAGACCCTCTCCTTCTCTCCCCCCCAGCCCCTTTATTGCAATTCCCCCCAAACCCTCTCCTGCCCTCCCCCCCGGCCCATCTGTTGCAATTCCTCCCAAGCCTCCTGCTGCAGCTGCGCCCAAACCTACTTCAGTCCCACCCAGACCTCCTTTTGTCGTTGCTCCCAAACCTGCTCCCATGCCTCCCGGACCTCCGACTGCTGCTGCTCCCAGACCTGCTCCAATTCCTCCCGGACCTCGTGCCACAGCTGCTCCCAAACCTAATCAAATTCCACCCGAACCTTCTGCTGCCGTTGCTCCAAGACCTGCTCCGATTCCTCCCAGACCTCGTGCCACAAATGCTCCAATCCCTCCCGATCCTCATGCCGCAACTGCTCCCGGACCAGCTTCAATTCCTCACAGGCCTCCTGTCACATCTGCTCCCAGACCTGCGCCGGTCCCAACCAAGCCTCCTGCTGCAGTTGCTTCCTGACCTTCCTATCCTTCCTTGCCCTGAATGCCCATCTTCCAGTCCTCCCTCCCTTCCTTAGCTTCCACACTTCCACTGAGGAGCCATCAAGTGCTTGTGCCATCTCGGTATTCTTCATAGTTTATCCCCCCCCCTGTAGCGTTCCATGCTACAAGCTGTAGTATACTGCAATTGCATGAACTTTTTGTTTCTGCTTTTGTTCCGTGAAAGAATGCGTGCCAACCAACTGCTTCGGTACTAAAGCAATACCGTAATCCCCCGGATATAAAGCCCGCCGATTTAAAGCCCCCATGGGTGGTTTATGCGGGGAGGATTTTCTATTTCGGAATCCGCAATACAACACCCCCTTTTTTGCCTTACTAACAGAGCACCCCCCCCCCCCCCCCCCCCCCCCCCCTTGTGACCCTAGTGAGTGTAGCTTAAAACTGTTTGTTAATTACTCGAACACAGGAGCTACCATTCACGAGTTACTGTACGAACAGTTACATTCGTGTGGCTCTGTACATTCGTGTGGCTCTGTACATTCGCATGGCTCGTGTGGCTCTATACAAAGCGGCTCCCCAACGTGTGACAATTGGGCGCGTTTGACCACATGCGCCTGTGTTTGGGTGCATGTTCTCGTCACGTTCTGTCTCGGCTCGCCAACGTGCATCTCTTGACGAGCTTGACCTTGCACAATTTGACCAATCACATTTCTTATATTCACCCACGTTCTTGAACCCGGGTCGATCGAGCCAACCCACGTAAACACAACCAATTTAGAACCATTGGATAGCGGAAACAACACTGCATATTGCTAAGCGTTTATAACATCTGACGCAAAATTACAAACCCGGGTGCAATACGCTCATCCCGCAATAGTGCACCCACCCCCTCATTTTCAGGGCGTACCAACACAACACCCGGGGTCGTGTATCCGGGGGATTACGGTACATGATTTAAGCATATATTACAAAAGAACACTCCAACATAAGCCTGCCTAGATAGGATCACACCATATCGCGGATCCCTCAAAGGCATTCTCTTATAGCAACTACCCCAGATGCACTCCGCCGTTCAGTCAGTCGAGGGTAGTAGGCATGGCAGGGTGCCTTTGAAGCTATCCGCAAGGATGTGAGGGTAGATAATAGATTGGACATGAAGGGAAGAACGAAGAAACGGTTGCACAAGATAGGTGAGGAGGGAGGGGATGGAGGGACAGGGTGAGGAGGAGGATGGAGAAGGTGGGAAGGGAGGGAGGGGATGGAGGGAAGGGATCAGGGGGTGAGAGAACGAGTGGGGAGGGCAGAGAGATGGGAAAACAGAGAGAAAGAGAGAAAAGAGAACAGTAAAAGCAGCAGCAAGGATCCTTCAGTGTAGCACCCAGTGCCCCACATCTAGAGGCGCCTCAAAAGTCAATGCACCGCCCAGTGCTGTCAAAATGCTAGGCCAAAACGAGAAACAGGCAAGAAGGGTTTTGACTAACAAGCATAGGGATACATATATGCAAACCCTAGAAGGGCTGTACTCGCTATAGAGTACCCCACTGCAGGCTAGACAACCATCACATTCTGACACACCCCCATAGTCAAAGTGGGGTACAATCAACATAACAAGCAGACAGAGCAATAGTTCACAATTATAAGCAAAGCTAGAGGCTATCACAGAGGGCAAGTGAGGAGGAGGAGAAACTGTGGGAGCAAGAAGATGAGAGGCGACGGCTGAAGCTGCAGACACACAGGCAGCAGGAGTACGCCGCACTGACGCTACCAGGCTAAACCCGGACTACACGGCGACAGGGGGTCGCAGCTGGCTCGCTGTGCTCCCAGGAGTGCACACACTGTAGCTACCGGGCGCAGAGCCCCGGACTACTCAGGCCACAGGGGGTCGTGGCTCCCTGGACTTCAGGCGCTGCGGACGACAAGTCGACGGCCTCCTCTCAACTTCCCCCAGCTGTCCCACCCCCTTTTTACACACCCCCTGCTGTTCCCCTAGCACCGCTCACACTACACCCCCTAGCGCCACTCCCTCGGCTCCCACACACCCACCCCCCTCAGCGGCAGCTGCAGCAGTGGGAGACGGAGAAGGAGGAGGAGGAGGGGAACGGCACTCAGTGGCTTCACCCCCATACCCCTCACCCCCAAACCCTAATTCAGGAGAACGGGCTGTAGGAGGGGTGGGGCGCCAGTAGAAGCACGGGGGACAGTGGGGAGGGCAGGGGCAGCGAGGAACGGGCCGCCCACGGGCCTGGCATAGCCGCCCGAACCGCGCGCAGGCGGCCCGAGCCGCGCGCGGGCCTGGCGCTTCCCGTACGGGCCGCGCGCGGGCCTGGCGCAGCCCGTACGGGCCGCGCGCCGGCTGTACGGGCCGCGCGCAGGCCACGACGGGCGACGGGGGGCGACGCGCGGGTCCCCGTCGCCCGTCGCAGCGCCTCCCGGGGGCGACGCGCCGAGTGACGGGGCAGAAAACCGCCGCGCGCCCCGGGCGCGCGGCGGGAAGAAAAAATCGCTGCGCGCCCGGAGCGCGCGGCAGGCAGGAAACAGCAGGAAACAACAGCGGAAGCTTCTGGTGGGACCACCCACAGGATCGACCCAGGAGGGTCGACCCGCTCTGATAGCATGTCAAAATGCTAGGCCAAAACGAGAAACAGGCAAGAAGGGTTTTGACTAACAAGCATAGGGATACATATATGCAAACCCTAGAAGGGCTGTACTCGCTAAAGAGTGCCCCACTGCAGGCTAGACAACCATCACATTCTGACAAGTGCCCCACCCCATCCACTGCCACAGCCTTTCCAAGCAATTGTCGTGAACAAATCCCAGGGTGAGTGGTAACCGGGTAACCAGCATGCCTCTGCTTCAATGCAGCACCCAGTGCCCCGCCCCATCCACGGCCACAGCCTCTCCAGGCAATCGTCGTGAACAAATCTCAGGGTGATCGTTCCCCTTCCCGGCAGCACTGCTATCACCAGGAGCTGGATTGCTCTCGGCAGGAGGGTAGAACACTGGTCCTGGCATGGCATGGCAATGCCGACCTTCATAGCTGGTTACCACAATGCACGGATCCGTAACCGCACGCTCCACGTGCTTGCGCACAGTGCACCCCGCGTGCGTGCACTTGTAGTAACTCCGCGGATTAGGGTTACCGCGTACCACCTTCTGCCCATACTTGCGCCAGCGGTAACCGTCGTCTAGAAGCTCCATGTTACTGCGTAACTCCACGACCAGTTTCGGCTCTTCGATTACTTGCTGCGCGCATACAAGCACCGTTTCGGCACTTCGCCTCGGCCTCTTATCCGCGGCTCCGTTAGTAGCTGCTTCGATATAAGCTGCTTCATTAGTAGCTGCTCCGTTGTGAGCAGCTTTATTGAGAGTTACTGCTGCGTTATAAGCTGCTGCGCTAGTAACATCCTCGTCCATTACTTCAGCTGACAGGTATCCAGCAGATAAACCTACCCCAGGTAGTGCCTTCCTCTTCCTCTCCCCACTCACACTCGACCCGCCGCTGCTCCCTGTCGGCCCCTCAGAACCAGGAGCAGGGTGGGTAAGATCAACGGCTGAGATTTGCAGGTTGGCAGGGGCGGATAAACGGCTGTGATGAAGGAACAGCCGCTTTCCCCAGAGCCTCTCTTGTGACCCATGGCGGTCTGGCACAGTGTTACCAGTAGGGTTACCATTCTGGTTACAAGTGGGGTTACCTATAGGAGTACCCTGCATGATTGATGAGGACTCAGCTTGTAGTGACGAAAATGAAGAGGAGAAGGAAAGCAGGGGATGTCCAGGAGAATTAATAGCAGCATTAGTAGCAGCAGCAGCAGCAGCAGCAGGGGAATCTTCCAGCTCCAGCTGCTGCTGCTGCTGCTGCTGCTCCTCACGCCCCTCTTCCTGACTTTCCTTCACAGGCAGCCCAGGAAGCGGGTGATTGTGCAATCCCTTGTAGATTCTCTCCAGCACCTCCCCGTCATCTGCCCGTTCCTCTGTTTTTCTCACCGGGCAGCCCGGAAACGTGCAGCGGAAATAAAGCCGGGGATGCAGGCAACCTTTCACCATTTTCTGCCCGTACTTCCGCCAGTTGTACCCATCTTCGGCAGGCACCAAAATAAATTCCGTGTTGCTGCCCGCCTCCAGTCCCTCCATGCTCCGAAATTTCCGACCTTCCCGAGATTTGCTCTGAAAGGGCTCAGGTCCTTCTGAAACTTCCAGGTGCTTGCTGCTTCGGTCGTTGCTGCGGCTGTTGTTCCTTCCATAAAGCTTCTCACTGCCTCTCTGCTGTTCGCTCCCACTCCCGCTGCCACTTGCGCCGCCCACAAGCGAGTCAAAAAAGTCAAACAAGTCGTTCAGATCACCTCCTGCTTCGCCCTTCCCTCCAAAGTCAACGAATTCCAGCTTCCCTGGGTTCTCCACACCTGACGTTGGGGTCTCCTCCTCACCCTCCAGCGCAGGCTCGGACATTCCCGATCCAGTAGAGCCAGTAGGCTCGGTGGCGTCCAGACCTGGCACTGAAAGGAGTGGTGGTTTCAGTGGAAAAGCGCATGTCAGCACTGGAGCCACAGCAGGCGGAGGGGGAACCATGTTGTGCGGAGGAAGTGAGGCGGGGATGGGGAGAACTGGGGCGGGGAGGGGGAGAGGCGGAGGTGGTAGGTTGAAACACGCTGTAACAACTGCATGTCCGGCTTGTACCGTGGCTGCACTGCCTGCCAAGCTTGCTGCCGAGCCTAGGGTTGGGCCGGGGCGGCCGGCCATGATAGGCGACTCGAGGAGCGCGGCTGGGCTGATTCCCGCGTCCATTAGGGCGAATGGGGACGCGACACCTGTAGGAGCTCCTTGAAAAGAGGTTGCTGCATCAGGTGCTGTTGAGTACGTTTTTTCAAGATTTTGCTGCTGCTGATGTTGATGCTGCTGCTGATGAGGCTGCTGCTGCTGCGGATAAGTGGGTGGTCGTACTAGGAGCTTTCCCGAATCGGGGGCGAGCTGGGACGATTGGCCGCGCTCCGGGATCAAGTGCGCCACGGACGGCGGCGGAACCTTCTGCGACGCGGAGGACGGGCCGCGCGCGGCGAGACGCGACGCGAAGCTGCGGCGTTGCCGGGCAGGCGAGCGCGGGGAATGCGGGGATCGCGGCGATGCGGATGAGCGCGGAGAACGCGGGGAGCGCGGGGAGCGCGGGGTACCGCAGCTGCTTCCGCTGCTCCCGCTGCCGTCTATCAGCACGTCTTGGCGGGAAAGGGCGACGTCAGAAAGCGACGAGTTAAGAGTGGCTCCGGGAAACGAAGGGAACGTTTTAAAAAGGCTCCCTATCCCCGCTGTAAGCCGCCCCGTTGTATCACACTCGACATTGCGAACATGGGAGTCCCAATCGCTGAAATCTGTCGCACCGGAGGCCGCGCCCGCAACACCAGGTTCTGACGTGGATTTTGGGAAGTCACGTCTTACGCGATTGGGCGCCTCGGCCGTCCCCGCCGTTTGCGGCGGCTGTTGCGGCGCAAGTCCGGCGGCTCCCGCCGCGGCCTCCGCTTTGATGATGAGCGCGCGGAGGCGCTCCGCGAGCGGCGCGCGGGGATCCTCGATCAGCGGCGCGGCTGATGTGGCGAGCGCGTGGAGGATGCTCATCGGAGTCTGCCGCGAAGTCGAAGAAAATTCCATTAAAAACTCGAAGAGGCGGTTCCGGTCGAGGAAGTTCTTTACCGGAAAAAAAATATATAGACCGCGTGTAACTGCTGCGGAAACAAACGGTAACTCGCGGCGGTAGCTTGTCCTTCTCAGCTCATGATAAAAAAATCGCTATCGTCACCGATATAACCACGCGCGCGCGGTTGTTCTCGAATGCACCGACAACGATACTTGGCACTGAAAGAGGTCGACTGCCCATACGACTTAAACTTCTAAGACGCGCCACGGGATAGTATACTCAAGCTTGCGCGGGGGAGAGTGAGTCGACTTGCGCTTTTTTTTCTCTAGGAGAGGGATAAATAATCATGATGGAGATCAAATGTCGGCGATATTTATCAAAATTCGCGTAAGGCTCGAAGACCGATAATCAACGTCACAACGGCCAAAAGAAGTGGCAGGCTGAATTGGCGTGGGCCGCGGCGCGGTGACTGAACGGGGGATCTCGTTCCGCGCGCCCATTGCGCGGATAACTCCGCTCAGCAGCACAGTCTCCGCCAGTCGCGCGGCTCGCGGACGCGCGTACAGTACCTTGCGGTCTAGAATTCGCGCCATGAGGGAGCGACAGGGATGGGAAACGACTGGACTTGGTCCTCCCTCGCTCGCCTGCTGCTCACCTAGACTTTCCTTTTCTGACGGATCTCCCCCCGTTCTGCGCTGCCTTTCGCGCGGCCGCGGTTGCGGCGCTTCATGTGCTTCTCTACCTGAGGCTGTGCCAGCCTGCCAAAGCAGTTCTTCGCTACATGGCGACAGATGTGGGAGATTGATTTTGCAGATTCTCACTGCCAGCACATACAGTAAGGAGATGCGAGGGGATACGATGGTGAGAGAGGAGGGGAGAGGAGGGAAGATGGGGCTGTATGTGCGGGCTGGAGGGGACGGGGGGGAGCTGGGGGAGGGGAGGGCGGGGGGTGTTGCGAAGTTGTGAAAGGAAACAAGAAGTTGTGGCCTGACTGCGGAACTTGCGGGAGGGGTCATGGCGGGGGAAACATCTGTGCAGGGAAATACTTTCTGTTGGGCAGGAGCGGTTGCCCCATTTTGTTGGTGTATATTCTGTCGTGCCTGGGTTGCAATTTCCGTGTGAAAAGGCAGAAAGACAACGGTTTCGTCATGTTTTAGAAAATTGAAGTTGACGGGTAAATTTGGGCTCAATGTTGCGAGAAATGGGGCTGGAAGTGAAGAGTGTTAACAACTGAAGAAAACAAAGTGCGGCACTTGCGGACGTGGTCGGTGGGTTTGATAATCGGTTCGGACAAAAGCAAGGGGGAAAAAATGAAAACCATCTGCGGAATGCCTTGGCGACTCGGGGACTTACGCAGTGCCCGAGAAAGGATCGACGCTGACCAGTGTAGCAAAAATCGCCACGTTTCGTCTCCGCTGTCGTCTACGTTTGTAACCCGATTATGGTATGTATCATGAAAGGCCCGCTGGAATTATCACTTCGCTGTTTCGCGAAGATGACGCTATACAACCGGAAATGCAGTGGAAACTCCCTATGTCAGAACAAAATGGTGTTGCTCACACTGTTCAGTGTCGGCGCATACAGCTGTCCTGTCCAGTATGCTCTGTCTGGTGCGCCCTTTGACAGTCATTCAGATCGTATTCCGAAGTTGGGACGCCATCCGAAGTTAGGACACGCGACTCAAAATGTTTAAAATGTGCTCGAATGTTACCCCACGCGGTTCGGAGTTCGGACACTTTGTTTTTTGCCGGCCACGGAAAATGCGACTCCGACGATCGTGCCATGACGGGGCGTTTTGAGTGCACCTGACAGCAGGGCCAACGTACATGCACTGCAGCCGTCACGATTCTCTCACGGAACTGCCCAATCGGTTGGACAGTGCGATTAGTGACGGACTCACAAAATGCACGAACATCCACACAGATACAACTTCGAAACAGACATTGTGACTACAAAACCCAAAACTCTCAACAACAAATACAATCAACACCATCGACTATTGGAGCCATGACGAGCAGCCTTCCCGCCTCAGCTTTGGCAGCCATAGCAGCATTCTTACATTGGAAGCAGCAGGACGACGACGCTACTGACCCTCTTATTGCAGATCTTGCTGCTATGTGGCTGGAGTCCACCACGACCGACGAGTCATCGCGAACAGAAGAGGAGATAGTGGCAGCAGCCAACACGGAAATGAGGGGTCGCGCTGAAAGGAGAAGGTACTGGATGCAGAAAATCGAAACTATGTCGGAGCGCGAGTTCATCGGGCTGTTTCGCATCAACAGGGCCATTCTCGAGCATATCGAGAAGGGCTTGGTCGATGAATTTCGCCCCATCACGGCCACCAACGTGGTACCATTACAACTTTGCGTGCTTATTCCAATCAAGTACTTGGCAACAGGAATGTCCTACCTTGACTTGAGCATTTTTTTTGGGGTCTCTAAGACTGTGTGCCACAGGGTGGTAGATGTGTTTCTCCAGGAGTTTCCTAAGAAGTTCAAGGCTGACTGGGTTCGTTTCCCCACGCGCGAGAGAATGCAGGAAATGGAGGCGGAGTTCAGAGAGTGCAAAGGAGTGCCTAATGTCATAGGCGCGGTGGATGGGACTCATTTGCAGGTGCGCGGGATTGACGATTACCGCAGCGAGTACTACTGCCGCAAGCAGACAGCAAGGTTTTCAAGAAGAGTGCTTTATATGGGAAGCTACAAATGGGAGCGATACAACCATACCAAATTCTAGGTGATGCTGCCTATCCGCTATCGGATTTCACACTTGTCCCTATCCATGCAAGCCGCAGCCGCCTTCTACGGGGCTGGGAACAAACTTTTAACTACGTGCACTCTTCAACTAGGATGGCCGTGGAGCGGACGATGGGGCTGTTCAAAAACAGGTGGCGAGTGTTCGGAAACTGCCACGGATGCAAGCTATGGCGGGTGTGCGCAGGAGTGGGATGTGCGGTCATCATGCACAACATGATAGAGGGGCAGATTGAGTGCCGCGCGCAAACACGAGGACGGCGCCGCGAGCTCCCACCTCGCGCCATCAACAGGTGGTGGGAGCGCACGGGGATGCGGAACTACCGGTGGCAGCCAACCCCCGCTCTCACACGTGCAGCGGTTGTGGATCGCCGCCGAAGGTTTGGTGTCCGCATCCACGACGCATGGCTCAGGCGCCGCGAGGAGGCTGCTGGTCCTGCTGCACCCCAGTAAAGTACCATTGGCCGTTGCCGTCAACTGCAATAGGAGATGGGGTGTTGCTCAGGAATGATGCATCGGCGTACATCTGCCTTGCAGCAGCTGGTTCGGCGCCATGCGATGGAGCTGACATGGCAGATGCTGTGGCTAAGATTGGTGCAGTTGGACGGTTTGCAGGTACCGCGAAAGTTCCAGGTGTGACAGCTTGGGAGGTTGGCACCTGCCTGCCACTGAACCAGGTCGGCGCCATCACAAAACCTGGTGGCAGTGACGGCCCTGCTGCAGTGGGAGCACCGGTGACAACGCCTCCACCCGAGGGAGGCGTGCCGACATGACTTCCAGGGGTGGTTGGCACGGGTGTGGGGAGCAGCTCATCGCGTGGCGGCTGGGGCGCTAAGCGTTCAATGACCGAAATGAGGCGTTCAAAAGCGGCATCCTGCCTGTTGTTCCTCTCGGTCATCAGGCGGGTAATCGTGTCAGCGACAAGGAGATGCCCCGCGTACGCCGGCGACTCCATGGCGCGACGACGAACCGGAATAGTTGGAAGCGGACCTGCTGGTAGAGGGTATACGTAGAGGGGAGACGCAGAGGGGAGACGTAGGGGGAGACGCAGAGGGGAGACGTAGGGGGAGACGTAGAGGGGAGACGTAGGGGGGAGACGTAGGGGGGAGACGTAGGAGGGAGACATAGTGGGTAGGTATGTTAGCATATTGTGATGCATGTGTCGTTCTATGTTATGCTTATTTAGTGCCATAATCGTCAGGTGTAAGCATGCACACGAACTTACGTTCAGGTTCCTCCGTAGGAGGAGCAGGCGCCGCCCTAACCGCGGTAGGTTCGGCATTGGCATTTCGCGCACCACCTTCGTCAACCACGTGCGGATCTGGCGCACGGTTGGCGTACCACCAATTGTATACGTATTCGAACCATTCGGGACGTTGCTGTGGCTCGCCACCCGTGCCTCCCTCCGCCACGCCTATTTCCTCCAAACGATTCTTCAGCCGCATCCACTGCTTCGCCATTGCGTCCGACGGGCGCCTCCACGCCGGATTGGCAATCCGGATCACGCGGCGAATCTTCTTCCAAGGCTGCGCGCCTTGCTTTCCCTTGAGGTGGTCCCAATCTTCCTTGGCCATCCACATGGCAGCTGCAAGTTCGGTGAGCTCGTCCTCAGTCCAATGCTGCTTTTTCGTAGGCGTCGTTCCAACTTTGCGCTTGCCTTTGTCAGCTCGGACGTCCGTGCCATCCTCAGCAGTGTCGTCAACGACGTCAGCAGCAGTGTAGCCATCGGAATCACAGTAGGAGTCGTCATCCGACTCTCCCTCGTCCGCACCATCGGTAGGGGCGTCATCTTCGGCGCCAGAAATGTTGCCTAATCCAGTAGGCGAGGGTCCCGCGCTTGATGAGCATGGCGTCCATATCGCTGGTGGTGTATCCGTCACGCCAACAAGACGCACGCGAGTCATCCCATTCGCCTCTTGCTGCTTCTTCCAAGCAACAAACGGAGGGTCTGGGCGAGGTTCGACAGGTTCCTGGGGAGCGACGTTCGCATTACGACGAGCGTTCTTCTTTCTCGGAGGCATGTCTAGGCAATTAATGTGAGAAACGTGGAGCAGAAGGGTGTGTTGAGAGCTGTATCGTGTGTGTTCTGGGCCTATTTTTGTACTCAACATGCAGGTTCACAAACTTCAAGAACGAGATGTGCATGGTTGGACTCCGAGCCGCATCTGAAATTGGTTTCCCACGCCTGTATCGTTAATTTCATGCTCTGTCATATTGTTTTCCCGCACTCATCGCAGTCAGATCTGGCCGTTTACAAATTGTGAGCTGTGATTGGGCGCGAAACCAGTCAGAGCAGCAACCGTCAGGCGACGGGGTCAAAATTGGTCGCAACGCTAAAGTTGGTCACATGTCCGAAGTGGGGCCACACCCCACATGGACACCATCAAACCCCAAAAAGTGCTTCGGATGGGTTAACTTAGATGGCGTCCCAACTTCGGAATACAATCTCCGTCCTGAAGAGGGGGAAAAAATGTTCAGTACCACATCATGAAGGTTTGGGAGAGTCTCACTTTCTTTGGGCACATTGTGGCAAAAACTCGGTCGAGTTTGACGAAGTCAACATTGCCCAACCATCCTTCGCCATCAATTTCGCTCGGGCAACTGGGTACAGAACTGAACTCTGAGCTCTTCACTTCTCAAACCTGAATTTCTGAAGGACTCTGGGGTGAGAAGGCAGGGCATCCAAACGTGCAAAAGCGCTGTTTTGATTTGAAGCTTCGGTGTGCGTGTGTACAGAAAGTGTTGGCAGGACGTGGGGGAGCAGAGATGAAGGTCTCAACACAGCCCGTAGAAATGGGTCAGCAGACTGGGCAATCTGAGTCGACTTTGAATTTCAAAGAATGCTGACTGGCGGATCTGTCAGTCAGAGTAACAAGTAATTTACATGGTAAAGTGTACCTCACTTATTGCACGGATTGTTATGCAATCGTTTTGCATAATTAAGTTATGCACTGCATATTAGTACTACAAACTCCTGATGCCAAGCGTAGGTTGAACTGGATGCTTGTCTGCCCAAAGAGGCAACTATTTTTACATGTGAGAGATGCCCGGCGACTAGATTATCAATATGGCAAAGGTTATATACGGTACTTTCATTATGACACGGTTATTGAATCATCACACTGTATTTCAATCATACTATTCTTGGGTTATCATAACATTATGTTTAAGAGCTGTCAGAAGTCAAAGCATATGTAATTGTACTATATACACTCTGTTCAGGCCAGAATCGGATGAAAGATCCTCGTTACAAAATTTGGGTCATTGGGAATCTCCAAGCTGGATTTCAGGTTTCCAGGCCAAGTACTCTCGAGATTTCAGGATGTCCAGATTTTTCTTCCCATACTCGCTACATCCTATTCCCTGCCAGACTTAGGATTAATTTCCTCCCTCGCGACGCCAATCCAACCTGGTCCGCCTTCGCGTTCCACCGCACTGTTTCACACCGTCTCCACCGCTTGTTTCTCGGCCTCTTAGAGAGTATTCCTCGCAATGGCGGCTGCAGCGCTTGCCACGTCAGCAGCAGTCGGCAGCATCAGTGGCTACCGGACCGCCAGCGCGATCTCCGGCGCTTGTGGGTTGCTGTTCTTCCACCCCTCTTCCGTTTCTTAGTTAGTTGATTCTTTATTCAGTTAGCTAGTTAGTTAGTAGTTAGTTATTTGTTTGGTTTTCTCCCGTGCCAAGCGACATTCCCTGTTAACTCCTCGCATCAGCATTCTCCTAACCTCCCGCGTACTCAGACCTCTAGCTACCCTTTCTGGTCGCGTTTTAGTGCGCATTATTTCGGCTCGACGAGTCCCTAACATTGGAAGATATTTCTTACGAATTTCCCGCGTTCCGTTTAATCCCTCTTTTCTCTCGCGCTCCTAACCCCTCTCCGTATCACCTGCATTCCCCCCCTCCCCTCCAATCCCCCCCCCACCTTCCCTTTCTCCACCCCCTCCTTACCACTCCCCTCCCCTTCTCCCTCCTCAACCTTTCCGCGCGCCCGTTCCCCCTCTCCGCCGCTGCCTGCTCGCAGCCCTTCGCTCGTCCTCCGCCTTCGCGCTCACCCCCATCCGCGCGCTTCCGCCACTTCCCTCGGTCGCCGCCGCCCGCCGCTCCTCCCCCTCCGCGCCGTCCCCCGCCCCCTCGCGCGCGGTGGTTCCGCGCGCCGTCATCGCGGGACTGCAGGTGTCGGTGGCGTCCGTGGCGCAATGGGCGGCGCGAATGGCGGCGTTTTACCTGCTGGTGAAGCTGGGAGTGGCTGGGGCGGAGAAAGGTGAGGAGAGGAGAAGGCCGGGGGGCCATCGAGGATGTTTGAAGGTCGGGAAATCGAGGGGTGATGCGCCTGCTTGTACAACTGGGGTTGGCTGGGGTTGGCTGGGGTTGGCTGAGGTTGGCAGGGGTTGGCTGGGGTTGGCTGTTTGGCTGGGAGAAAGGTGTGAGGAGCGAGTGACAAGGGGGTGTCAAGAAGTGTGAGATCAGGAGAACGGGGTAAGGTCAGGACGTAGGGTATGGTCTAGTGAGAGCGGGTTAAGAAAGGACCTGGGATAGAATTTAGGATAGACATGGTCAAGATTTGCAAGCGGACTAATCGTGTCAAGATTCGCAAAGTGCAGCAATCTATCCGTTGCCGTTTTGAGACGTCTCAAAACACTGCTTCATCATGTGTCAGTCGTCTCAGGATTCGTGAAGTGCAGCAATCTATCCGTTGGCGAAGTTGGGCACTCCTGGTGCTATGCCCCGTTACACCGTAACCAGCCCGTGCCCATCGTTCCATACTCCACCCTATCCATCTTTCCATCCCATATCTATTCCCCACCCCTAAGCAATGTTTCATAACCCCAATCCAACCCCCCTACCCTCAACCTGATACTCGTCTGTTTAACCCTCTCTAATCCCCTTTCCCTGTCCCCACCACCCTACTGGCGACTTGTCTGCCAGCTGGCGGGGCTGAGAGCGTGGGCGGCCTTGACCTCGTTGACCGGGTCAACAGGGTCAAACTGACTTTACTCTCCACCGCTGTGCTATCCTCTCCCACCCACCTCACCCATGTCTGCCAGCTGGCGGGGCTGAGAGCACGGGCGGCATCAACTTTGTCATTATTAGGCCAACAGGGTCAAACTGATTCCGCTCCTTGCCTCTCCATTCCCTCTTCCCTGTCCCCACCACTCTAAACCCCGCTCTTTTTGTGCCAGCTGGCGAGGCTGAGAGCATGGGCTGCATCAACCTCGTTGACCGGGTCAAAGGGTCAAACAGGCAGCATCAACCTTTATTTCTACTGCTTGCTATCCCCTCCCACCCATTCCATCCACTGTTTATGTGCCAGCTGGCGGGGCTGAGAGCACGGGCGGCATCAACCTTGTTGACCGGGTCAACAAGGCGCTGTTTGGGAACGCTGGTGAGTCAGCTTGAAAGCGTTGACCTTCTTGACCAGGTCAAGGGGGCACTGCTGGTGGTTCATGGACCTGTGCAGGTATTTTGACCTCGTTGACCTCGTTGACCTCGTTTGGGAACGCTGCTGAACTCTGGACGGTGATAGGTTGTTGCACAGGTAAAAGTCTGCGTGGCATGGGAGTTCCAAGGAGGGCACGCTGGTGCGGCGGTGCTGATGCGACTCCCATTCGTCTCCCCGTCTCCCTGTCTCATCACCCAAGAAAGCAGCCAAGGAGGCGAAGAAGGCAAACGGCAGCAGGTGGCGTGAGAGCAGCAAGGGCACGCTGGTGTGTTACTCATGCCCTGTCCCCCCGCCCCTCCCTCTGTGTTCCCATCCATTCATCAGCCGAGAACGCAGCCAAGGAGGCGAAGAAGGTAGCTGGCAGCACATGGCATGAGAGCACCAAGGGAACCTTCGTGAGGCGGTGCTGATGCGAGTCCCTTCTACTGCCCCCTATCCCCCCCTCCTCTCTCTCCACCAGCGGAAAAGGCAGCCAAGGAGGCGAAGAAAGCAGCGGGCAGCAGATGGCATGAGAGCACCAAGGGCACCCTGGTGAGGCGGTGCCGTGTCCCCAACGTGAGCGAAGGGAGAAGGACCCTGCGGTCGTTGATGGCGCTGCTGTCTGAAGACGACCTTTTCACTGACGCCACCTCACACAAGGTAGGCGGGTGTGTGAGAGTATGAATGGCATGAGAGCACCAAGGGCACCCTGGTGAGGCGGTGCCGCGTTCCCAATGTGAGCGAGGGGAGGAGGACTCTTTGTTCCCTCATGGCCCTTTTGTCTGAAGATGACCTTTTCACCGACGCCACGTCGCACAAGGTACGTACCTCCCACAAGGTACGTACCTCCCACAAGGTATGTACCTCCCACAAGGTGAGCGGATGGGTGGGTGGGAGCAGCAAGGCACCCTGGTGAGGCGGTGCCGTGTGCCTCATGAGCGAGGGGAGGCGGACTCTTCGTTCCCTCATGGCCCTTTTGACTGAAGATGACCTTTTCACTGACGCCACGTCGCACAAGGTGAGTGTCTTTTGCACAGGTCACACAGGTGTGGCTTTTGAGAGCATAAGAGGCAGGCATGGGGTGGGCATGAGGTGGGCATGAGGTGGCATGAGGTGGCATGAGGTGGCATGAGGTGGGCATAAGGTGGCATGGGAGCACCAAGGCCACACTGGTGAGGCGGTGCTGTGTGCCCAACGTCAGTGAGGGGAGGAGAACCCTTCTCTCGTTGATGGCTCTGCTCTCTGGTTAGGCAATGCAGTGTACTATCTGTTCCCTAATGGCTCTTCTCTCTGAAGACCACCTTTTCACTGACGCCTCCTCGCACAAGGTGAGTTCCTGACACATGCATGGCATGGGCATTGGGTACACGAGTGTGAGAGCATGAGAATATGACAGTGAGTGAGCATAAAGTAACGCGCTTGGGAGCACTCCCTTTCTCCCATTCCTTCTCTCCCCACCTCCCTCCCTCTCCTCCACTCTCCACCTCCCTCCCTCTCCTCCCCTCCTCATGTCCCGGATATCCTCTCTCCATCTCCTCCTCCCCATAACAGGGTTGCCAGATCAGGAGGGAGTCAGCGCACAGTGAAACCGCCTGCTGCAAAAACGTGAGGGCCATGTTTGACGAGCTGCCCACGCCACACATTCATGCTTCCTCTCATCTCCTTCCCGTCGCACCCCACACCACAGGGCTGCCAAATCCGCAGGGAGTCAGCCCACAGCGAGACGGTGTGCTGCAACAACGTGAGGGCCATGTTCGACGAGCTGCCCACGCCACACATCGTGGTCAAGGTCCCTGTCTTCCCTTTCTCCCCCACCTCCCTCCCTTCCTTGCCTCCCTCGCTCTCCTCCCCCCGCCTTCGTCCCTCCCTTCCTGTACCCTGCCTCCTTCTCCGCCCCATGCTTTTCATCCCAACCTGCCCATAACAGGGTTGTCAGATCAGGAGGGAGTCAGCGCACAGTGAGACGGTGTGCTGCAACAACTAGTGAGGGCCATGTTCGACGAGCTGCCCACGCCACACATCGTGGTCAAGGTCCCTGTCTTCCCTTTCTCCCCCACCTCCCTCCCTTCCTTGCCTCCCTCGCTCTCCTCCCCCCGCCTTCGTCCCTCCCTTCCTGTACCCTGCCTCCTTCTCCGCCCCATGCTTTTCATCCCAACCTGCCCATAACAGGGTTGTCAGATCAGGAGGGAGTCAGCGCACAGTGAGACGGTGTGCTGCAACAACGTGAGGGCCATGTTTGACGAGCTGCCCACGCCACACATCGTGGTCGAGGTCACTGTCTTCCCCTCGGGCCCTCTCACTGCTATGGAGTACCAGAAGGCTGAGAAGCTCGAGGCCGTGCTTAAAAAGGGGCGGTCAATCTAGAGGGGGTTACTGTAGCTTGTATTGTTAAGGTGCACTGGAATTGCATTCTATGATGTTAATACGTCTCTCCCCTGACCCTCTCAATCCCATGGAGTACCAGAAATCTGAGAAGTTTGAGGCTGTGCTGAAGAAGGGGCACTCGATATAGAGGGTGTTACTGTAGATGTTATGGTACTGCTTATGACGAGAAGAACACGTCCTTCAGAGGCATCACTACCATCTTGGACTAGAAGGCTGAGAACAGTCCATGTTGGGTTTACATAAACAGTTGAGGTGTAGTGGTGGCCCATGAGCATAGTCCATTGTCCATACAGTAGTTTCAATATCGTTGTGCTGAACACCCTATTTCTGAAGTGAAGCTTTCTAGTTACAATCCCAACATCTGTTGTCCATTTAGAAGCACATTCCCGTATAGTATCATAGATCGGCTTCTTTCAAACAGCACACAGAACACACCCAAACCAAAGCGACAATACGGTAAAAGCACAAGAGGAGGCAAGGGCATCTCCAAGCACTCTCGAAACCAAACAGCCGACTATAAAGCTGCCTAAAAAATCATCTCCCAGCGCTCGTCCTTCCTTCTCCCCTCACACCCCCTTCTTCCCCTTGTTCTTTCCCAGCCAGCCAGCCACCACAGGAGAGAGAGCCACAGTGGGAGGGAATTACACAGGAGAGAGTGCCTTGTGAGCCGCACGGGCAGTGTTGACGACTCCCTCTCACCCCTCCCTGCTCCCCTCCGTGCTCCCCTCCACCTTCCCTGTTCCCCTCCCCACTCCCTGCTTCCCTCTCCCCTCCCTAGCAACCCTGAATAGCATACACCCCACCCCCTTACTCCCCCTTGCTCCCCTCCTCCTTCTCCTTGTTCTTCCCCAGCCAGCCAGCCACCACAGGAGTGAGGGCGACGGTGGGAGGGAAGCGCACGGGAGAGAGGGCCTTGTGAGCCGCATAGGCAATAGCGAAGGTACCCACAGCCTCTCCTGTGCTGTCCACGTGCAAACCGAACTGATTGGGGGAGGGGGAGGGAAGGAAGATAGAGAAGGGATCAAGAGGGTATTGTGAGCCGCACAGGCAATGACAAAGGTGCCCCTGTGCTGAGGTGCCCCTGTGCTGAGGTGGGGGAGGATTATGTAGGAGATGAGGGGGAGTGAGGGAGAGTGAGGGAGAGACTGTGGATGCCTGGGAAAGAGGGATGCAGACACGAGACAGAGCCTTTTGGGCTGCATAGGCCACAGGCAATGGGCACACTTGTTGTATCTACCAATTTAGAAGCCCAGCCACATTCACACCACAGTCAAGGCAGAGGGAGAAGGAAACGAGGGAGAGGGCGGCGGAGGTACCAAATAGTGCAATATCATATACCACTCCTTAACGAGTCAAGCCCTTAACGAGTCAACTCTTACCGAGTCAAGAAGGCCAGCCACGTCCACGCCTTGGTCAACCAGCAGGTAGCAGAGGGAGAAGGAGACGAGGGAGAGGGCGATGGAGGTCCCAAGGTACGCCCCTCCGTAACGAGTCAACAAGTCCTTTGCCACTTCTGCGTTGCTCCCAGCCTTCAAAGAGGGGGAGAGAGAGAGGGGAGGGGTAGGGGGGGAGTAAGGCAGGGAGAGAGAGGGAGAGGGTTGGGGAAGATTGCGGGTCAATAGGTCCTGAGGCACGCCCCTCAGTTGCGGGTCAACAGGCCCTGTGCCACCTCCGCGTTGCACAGATGGTTCTTGAAAAGCAATGCTGCTGCGGTAAGTTCACCCGCATTCCGAGGGTCTGCACGCGTTTCGCTTTTCAATTTCCAGCTCATTTCTGTACTCTATTTTTGCATTCAATACTTCCTTTGTTTCTTTTTTCTTCGCTCATTTCTGAAGTTAAGACTTAAACATCGTTCACACATCGTCCCTTCCACTCGCCCCATCAATCTTATCCACTCCTCACCTTCCATAGCCCGGCTTCCAGGCCCCATTTCCGGGTAACTTCCTCCGCTTCCTCCGCAGGAGAAGCCGCGGAGGAGGCAGGCGGCGAGGAAGACGTATGGCTGTTGACACTGCTGTTGGCACCGGTGGCGGTGTTGCTGCTGCTGTTGGTGTTACTGCTACTGGACGTCGCTCCTGTTTCTCTCGTTTCTGCACCAGAGTAAGGCAGCAAGCGGTGGAACGGAGATATTTGACTGAGGTGGACTAGAGGGAAGTGCATCTTGAGTTGAAACCGAATGACACCATAGCGAGACATCAAGAGGTTTGAATGCGAATCTGATCTGAGCGAGGTGGATTCGAGGGAAACATATCTACGATCCACTCGAAAGCCGCCGACGCAAGTCACCAAACCGAAGTCAGAAAGTGATGGAATGCGAATCAAATCTCTGCGAGGTAAAATCGAGGAGGAAAAACTGTTTCCGAAACCGGTCGCTCGGAGGTGATACGGAAATCAACTGCTACAGAAGAATATATTCCCCGTAAGAGAACTGCAAACTGCAAGCTCTTGCACCTGGAAGCAAACTGCGGTCGGAAATCAACGCTTTCGACGCACCTTGAAGGGAGCTGCGGGCGGAAATCCGTAACGGCCTGCCAGGCGATCGGCCGGTAAGAGCAGCCGGGGCGAGTGTTCCCCCACCCTACTTCCTTCTCCCCTCCCTCTCACCCTTCACTGCTTCCCTCCACGCACCTTGAAGGGAGCTCCGGGCGGAAATGCGTAACGGCCTGCTGGGCACTCGGCCGGTTAGAGCAGCGCAAGATGGTAGTTGCGAGCACGTAGACAGCTTCGCGAGGCTGCGGTTTGCCGTGGAGTTGGCGGCAGCCATGGTTGCGACGCTCTCCGCCGAGATAAGAGCAGCCATGGTCGCTACTGACGAGCGTCGAAACGGGTTCAGAAAGGAGCAGGTGTTGCCGCCGCGGAAATGGAATAGTGTACGGATGCGCTAGCCGAGCGGTAATTAGCTGATCAGTAGTAGCCAGCGCGCATGCGTTTCGATAACGATCGAGGGCAAAGTGAGCGGAATGAGCTCAGCTGTCGGCTAATTACTTTCTCGTAAAGGAAAAGCGGAACGTTGAAACATATGGCGGAATGTGGATGACACGAAGTGTATGGCGACCGAAAGCGCCGTCGGAGCGTGTGGATTAGCGGTATGCTCGTGCTGCGTGCCTGAAGAGATGGACGCAACGCAACTAGCTTCTCGACGTCAGTCACTGAACAAAAGCGATATGAAGAAAAAGAAAAGAGCGATCGTTCCATTTATGACTGTCGGATAGGGACTCGGGCCGGGAATCGGACGGAGGATAGGAGGGAACAAGCATCTCCGTCAGTACTGCTAACCCCACCAGCAACCCTGGATGAAAATGATCGAGGTGAGAAGGTTTATAAATAAGGTGAAGTACGTTTCGGTACGAGCTAGTACGGTGACGTATGGTTTGATGTATGGGGGGGGAGTTTCCACTTTGATCCTTGTACACACTTACCCCACGTGCCACGTCATCCGAAGATGCTTCAGGAAGTGACGACGTGGCGGTGACGGTTCGTGGCCGCCCCGAGGTGTGTGGTGGCGGATAACGGGATAGCTTCATCTGAGCGCCACGTGCCGCTCTCGAGCTTGGGCTTCGCATGCGTTTAGATTGTGTTGGGATGTGCACTTGAAACAATGTCCAACATTCTACACATATACAGGTATAATATAAATAAATACAGCGTTTCTCACAACTTGAGAGGCAGAAACAGCTCCCAGATCATGCTTTTCAACTCCATGTGTTCATGATGTCGGCCAGAAAATCAAGCTCAAGATCCGTAGCACTCATGTTATGTGAATCTAAATTTGTGAATGGCGGACAATGCGAGTCGGTAGGCGTGTGGGGTTCAGAGGAAACAATATTGTTGTGAGATACGACTGAATCCATGGACTGCTGGTGAGGAGGTTCCACGTGTGATCCATAAGATGGCTGTATAACCGGCTGGAATCCGGGCAGCGAGGGCGAAACCATAGGGTGAAGGGTAGAAACCTGCTCTTCCTCCCTCTGTTCTTCCATTGCCTGAGCCAGCAGCATCACCTCATACTCCTGTGTCGCCTCCAGCTGCTGCAGCAGAGAGTCCAGCAAGGCATCCGTGGGCTGCAGCTCAGCTGACACGTGGATATGCTGTGCTGGATGCTGCTGAGCTGGCACGTAAACCTGCTGCACTGAGTGCATGTGAGGAAAAGGCGGGGCTCCCAGCAGCTCATGCTGCGATTGCTGAGGGCTGTTGAATCCAGGCAGCACCGTCGGATTCTGCTCTGGTGGCTGAGTCCAGGCCCTCTTCTCTGGTGGCCGATTCTTCTTCACCCTTCTCTCCTCCTCTTCAAGCTCCAACAGCATCATTTCAACCTGCCTAGATTGCTCAACCCACTGTGCCTCCCTTACCCTCCTCTCCTCCTCCTCCTCCTCCTCCATCTGCAACAGCAGCGCCTTCAGCTGGCCATCCATTGGTGTGACTGTAAGAAGAGACTGGTGTGACTGTATCGGCATCGCAGCTTGCTCCCACGTTCTCTTTCTTGAGACACCACCAGTTCTGACACCAGTGGCGGCAGAATGAAGGTTTGCATTGCGGTTCTGAGGAGCGAATGGTTCAGAGCGGCAAGTGAAGGGGACAATACAGTGTGAAGGGGGAGGGAGGGGCAGGGTCGAGTAGCTTTTGTGCATTGCCGCTCTTGGGGCTTCAGCAGGGGCAGCAGGAGGAGGAAAAGGAGGCGTGGCAGTAGGAACAGGAGTGGTCACAGCCAAAACAGCAGCAGGGTCACCAGCAGCGGAAGCAGCAGCAGTCATAGAAGGAGGCCCTTGTGCGGTTAGCAAGACGCCAGCGCCCAGAGCCGCCAGCATCGCAACACACGCCGACACATGGCCCGGCAGGGTTGGCAAATGGGCCGGCAGGGTTGGCACACGGGGAGGCAGGGTTGGCACACGGGGAGGCAGGGTTGGCACACGGGGAGGCAGGGTTGGCACATGGCCCAGCAGGGATAGCAGCCCCTCCCCAGCAGCAGCGATAGAGCACCTCCCACCGGCAGTGCTACCAGTGGTGGCGCCATTGGTGCTTGCAATGGCTGCAGCATGCTCGAGCATCTGAGCTCGCATGCTGTTTCGCAGAGATGACTTGTGAGTCGACTCAAGAGTCTGATCGACCTCTTGTGCTCTCAAGTTGCCTTGAGATGTTGACAGCAGCCGCTGCAGCATCTGAGCTCTCATAGGCCCCACGGGGAAACCATCACAGGTACTTGTAGCAGTAGTGGGAGTAGCAGCAACCGGCGTTCGAGAGCCACTCTCAACCGCAGTGAAAGCAAGGAAGTCTGTGTGGGTGTCAGCTGTTGGGACAGCTGTGGGACTGAAGGGGCATGCTGCCGAGGAAAGGAGGGAAGCGAAGCTGGTAAAGGGAGGCTGAGGCGACGCCGAAACTCCTGCTGCTGTGCTCGGATTGGTTGGCGGGGAGACGACGCCTGGAGTGAGGGTCCTGATCGTCTCACTCTCAGCAACGTGCGGGACTCTTGCCTTGATGCAGAGGTCGCCCTGAGATGCTTGTTGAGCTGACTCGGACATCGGGGACAAGACGGGCCGCATGAGGAGCCTCATCCCCTCTCCCCCAGCAAAATGCAGAGCTCTTCTCTTGCTGTCGACGACTCTTTTCTTACTGTCTGGGCCGCTCTGTGCTTCGGCCAGGAGATGTGCTTCGGCCTGTTCAGGGGCAGCGACTTCAGCAGCAGCAGGGGCAGCAGAAGGGGCAGCAGCAGGGGCAGTAGCAGGGGCAGCTTCAGGAGCAGCTTCAGGGCCCAGTGCAAGGCCGTGCGGAGAAGCATGAGGTTGTGGGAAGTTGAGAACAGCGGTTGGACCCATGAGCTTGAGCGCAGCGCCGTCGTACGCCCTTGCAGCAGCTTCCGCCGTGCGGAAGGATCCGAGCCAGACGCGCATTCGGAGGCGCGGGTGAGGGATTTCCGCCACCCAGGATCCCCACTTGCGCTGGCGCACTCCGCGGAAGGCGTGGCGCGCGTTGTCCGGGCCCCCGCGCGGGGCCTCGCGCGGAAGGCCCATCAGGCGCGACCAGCGCCGACACATAACGGCTGCATAGAAGTATTATCCGCGGGGAGGTTTATAGCTGATCCAGGCGAGCCGCGTCGCAGAGGGAAAGCCTTTCCGAGTGAAAGGGGATCTGCGGCTGCTGAGAGATTATTCAGCCGCGCATCAGGATATGAAGGAGCGAGAAAGAAAGGCTTGTTCGGTGAGAACGGGGGACTTGAAATTCTCATTGAATCCGCTCAAGAGAGTCGCGATAAAAGACGAGAGCACAGTAAAGTAGACCGAGCGTTTCGACAGACGAGATTGGGAATGAACCATGCGAGAATGGATCTGGATAAAGCGACATGCTGGCTTTTACAAGATGAAAGAAAGGAGCCTTCAACTTGCCTCGCAGTGCGTCACCTCACTCTCACCTCATACTCCTTCCCCCCCCACTTCTCCTCTCTATCCCTCCACTCACTGTCTCCCACCACTTTCTCTCACTCTGCCGCGCCTTTCAAAGACTCGCTTCACTCTGCCACCATCCCCAAAATGTTTCTGACCCTAGCGTGACCCACCTACCGGCCTGACCCAAGCCTTGCCTGTAAATGCCCCCAGAGTGCCTTCCGGGTCAAATAAGGGTTAGTGGTCAGTTAAGGGTCAGTTTTGGGTCAGCGAGTTTTTGCCCCCAAATCGAACCCAACCTCTATCTGACCCAAAACTGCCCCAAACCTGCCTTGCACTTGTACCTTGACCGCCCGGGTTTGATTCTCGCCGGGTAATGGGAATTAAAAACCCGGTAAGAAGTGGCCCCATTATAGCGAATGTCCCACTGCAGCTGCTCCGACGCTACATGGTGTAACAATCCATGAACACTACATACATAACCATCAAATAATCTAGGACATAGTCCATGGCCAAAATTACATACCCACGACGCCTGCCCAATAGGGACGCCACCCGGAATCCGAAGCTAATTGACGGCAATCGAACGATCGGATACAACATATGCCCGACAGGGATAGATTCACACAGGTATTAAATCAAAACTACTACCAATGTTTAGGGTCATGTCCTGAGCCCACACAGTCCCGTCCGATGCCCAACCAGCAGCCACAAGAATACAGAACCAGGGTTTCAGTCATCAAACAGAAACCGGTTCACCAAAGAGAACCGGGGCTCAGTGAAACACGGGACAATGTGGGCAAGGGACAGAATGTTGTCCACCTCGACAACGGCGTACTCATCCTCTCCCACAGTCGGCAGTAGCCTCGCGCATCCCGTCACGGGGCATGGGGTGGGATGCTCGTCGAAATACCACACCACGGCGCGCCTGTGAATCTGGGCCTCGCCGTCAATGAAATGGAATAGCATGATGCACCGAGCATACCACTCGCCCTCCCCCCCAGCAATCGACACGTAGCTGAACTTCCCCTCACCCGGCGCTGCCTTCACCATGTGCCCTGGCCCGCGGCCCAAGAGGCGGTCATGGGGGGGTATCGCCATCGCTGTGTGAACCTGCACAAACCGACAGAAACCCAATCAGGCATCATGTGACGCCCCCCCCACAAACCCAACATCACGCAACTATGGACCAGCATGTAGACCCGAAATCCCAATCCCGAACCGGCCCCCTTGCACCCACTCATCGACGAGGCATCACCTGCACGCCTGACGCATCGATCCCCACACGCTGCATCACCCGTGCGATACCGTCCATCACCGCGCTGCCCAGCACGGCGCCATATTCCGCCAAGACGGGGTCCTGCGCATCCCCCACCGCCATGCGCCGTGAACGTCGGGTAAGCACCCTGGTGTTGTGCTTCACCGCCTGTGCCCACGCACCGTACGATGGGAATGGAAAAGAGCATAAAAGAGAACCCTCCATCACCGTGAGACCCGACAGCCAATACGGGACACCATGCTGTAAGTAATGTCACATGGCTCGGGAGCGCTACACTCATGCATGACCCGTCATGGCTCACCGTGCGCATGGCCGTCTCGTACGTCCTACCGCCCTCGGCCCGACCCAGGCCCCTGATTGCCTCGTTGCGTGCGTGGCGAACCGCAATGTCTCTGCCCACGTCCCGCCAGTTCGAGTTCCGTGCAGGCCATTTGCAAAATCGCTTATGCAAGGCCTCGTATGTGTTGGTCGATTGCTCGGACGGGATGCCATGCATCCTGATCGCATGCGGGAGGTGCCGGAGAAGATGCACCTTCGGCAGTCGCCACTACGACGACTGCTTGGGGAAGACGAGCTTCAGCTCCGCGACCAGCCTGCGCAGCCGCGTACATCAACGCGTGAGAGGTATGGCTATGCGAGGTATGGCTATCCAGGCGTGACGCCTTTCAAAGACTCGCTTCACTCTGCCGCTCTTCCTTGTCATTCAGTTAATGTGGTTCATCCCCCTTCTTCTTCGACTCGACCGCCTTTTCCCCCTCTCTCGCCCCTAAAAAGCTGGAGGAAACTCGCTCGCGCGAGGTGCATAAGCCGCGAAATTTGCGACAGTTCAGATTCCGAATCTAAGAAATGGGCGGCGTGGCTAGGGGACGACTGAACTGCAGTGCCTTCGATGGAAGGAGAAAACGATCGTGACCACTTGCCGCCCGTGTCCCGACCATCAGCGTGCAAATCCGAGATAACTTATCTCCAGTGCTGACATGGGTCTGGTGGCGTGCGCTGGCGGGCAGGCATCGAATAAAACTGGCTTGGATTAAAGTCCTGATTCCGAATGCCGTGGATATGCATGATCGAAGATTTTCGGGCGCGCATCGCCTAGCGAGGGGATTCGTTCGTGATCGCCGCTCCCGCCACCAACGAACGGCTCGAATCAAAGCATGCCAAACAGCTAGATTTCCCTCAAAGGCGGGGCAGAGATGAAAGAATCTAGTCTTGAGAGGTTGTCCGTCTCCATTACAAGGCCACGCTGGAAACTTAGTAACTGCCCTTAAGACTTTTGCTCATTTTGCTTTCGTCGACTTGGGACTGGCAGCATAAGGTTACTTGAGGGTTGCAAGAGGCTGCTATTGTGAGGTTCGGAAAAAAAAAAAGGTGCGAACTAATGGCGTGTGAGGTCGGATTTGAAATTCAAAAAAAAGTGCGAACTTTGTGTGGTTACCAGTTTCGCCAATGTCGCATAGAGCTAGGAGCGAAACTTCGTCAACTTTGGGTTTGGCAACATGCGAACTGCAAACTTGAACAAGACTCGAGTTTTAGTTGTGAACGTGCTTCGGCATGTTCACATTCACGTGTGTGATTTCCCGCACGTTCGAGCATCTGGCGAAATGTGCGAGCGACTCACGAGTAGCAACAGTACCACAACGAACTTACCACAGCCTTCGTGTACTGAATGGAGGCCACGTGGCGAGAATCGGGTAACCTACTTTGTAGAACCGGGTAACCTACTTTGTAGAAATGCGGTTCGGTGCGTTTTTACAAGTTCGAATACGCGCACTCGACCTTGTATATGTGTGTGCTTTTCTGCAGTGTTGTGGTCCAGATGTGCGAACCCCGATACAATGAAAGTCGAGTTTGGTTCGACATATGTTCATGTAGCACAACTCGCCCTTAAAATGTAAACTTTCACAAATTCCACCGATCACACGCGCCCTAATCCTCTCAACTCCATGATTAAGCGGGTAAATCTAGATACGAAACGTGTGAAGGCACAGCGAAAAAGCAACGGGAACCATACACGTGGACGCAACGGACGTCACGGGGTACTTGCCGAATCTAGCGGAGGGCAGGTGACGAAATCCACCGTAGGATGCGATCGGCACATCACTTTCTTCGTCCTGGACTTCTACAGTGGTGGTCCTTACTGAGAGGAGTGAGTCGAATCGAAGCTGCTTCTTCACCGCCATTTTCGAGCGTATACGACATCGCGCTGGAGGCCTGTTACGTCATACACGAGCAAACCCTAAGACTGATTCGTGAAGAAAGCACCCCAGATTCATCCTGACACAGAAATGGAGGGCGAAGTGAAAACCGGAAAATCTTGGGCAGTTCCTATTCCCACGAAACACGAATTGCAGACATGCACTTTCATGGAAAAATGCCGAGATCTGTAGTACAGTGTACAGAGTGCAGATTCTCCTATCGAAAGCATATCTTGGATGCACAAATCGGGGAACCGTCAGATGTCATCGTCAGATGTATCGTGTGATGTTCCTGCCACTGTCAGAATTCAAAACGTGAGGGCCGAGTTACAATTACACAGTTACACTAATCCATCCAATTACACGTAGTGCACCATCAGCCAACGGCGTGCGTGGATTCGGTACTGCTGCTAGTGCGTGTATCGGGTACGAGAGGATACGGAAAGATGTAGTTTGTAAGGAAATTTCTCGACATTCCTTACCGCGCACGTCAATTTCGCGTACAGCAGCAGCCGTTGTTCGCCCGTTACTGCTAACAGGGCTTCGCAAATTTCGCGCGCACTGTTTCACCAAACCATGGCTCGGCCGAGTCGGCCTACGCTTCGAGATTAACACGAACCTCGATGCCGGCCTAGTACTAGCTAGCTCGCACGCACCGCGTTACCGTTTGCATGTTTCGCGTATATGTATTCACTCATGCCTTCGCTCATACTTTGTACTCGTTTGACACCTAGTGCAATCCTCGCTATCTCGTTCCATTGCACCCGTAACACTTGGTATTCAGAGTCACCTTCTTTCGGACCGCGCATCTCCGCAACCAGAGAATTCATACTCGATTTGGTTCCACTAGTCGGTTGGAGACCAGTGTATTTAACATCTATTCAGTCTCTGTCTCGTCGTCAAATGACAACAGCGAACCAACTGCCTTCTGTGTTGTCATCTGCCCTCCACTTGCCTTCTTTCGGTTGTTCCCTCCCTGCAGGTCATGAGGAGGAGAGCAATGGGCAGTGGCGGTGTGAAGCGAATCAATCAACACATTAAAAGAGCACTGGGCGGTGAAGCAAGCACGGAGGCACGAGAAAACAAAGGATAAGATAGAGCAGTGTGTGTGCTGGGGATTGGTCCGCGCATGGAGGAAGGGGAGGAGGAGGCGGGCGGAAGGGGAGGGGAAGAGGAGGTGGCGAGAGAGGGGGAGGGGGACGGTTGGGAGGGGGAGGGGGCGAAGGCGAGGAGGGATGAGAAGGAGGAGGAATCAGAAGGTTGTGCCAGGAATCAGAAGGTTGTGCCAGGGATTGTGTTGTTCCTTCCTTGTGTTCTCCCTTTTCCACTTCCCCCATGTTACCCATGCCTCCCATCCCCATTCCTGGTCGCCCCTCACTCTGTGCCTGCATGCCCCTTACCCCATTCCTGCCCGTCCATTCCCTCTAAGCCTATACGTCACTCCTTCCCCTCCCCCCCCCCCCCCCTCCCCCCGTGTATAAAGGGTATTTTTTAGACGTCTGAAACATACCCTTTATACACGTCCCTTACCCCGTTCCTGCCCGTCCGTTCCCTCTAAGCCTCTCAATCACTCCTCCCCCCCCCCTCCCCCTCTCCCCATCCCATTCTTACCAGCGCGTCTCCCCCCTTCCCCTCCCCTTTCGCCCCTCCCTCTGCCGTTTTCCGCTTGCGAAATGTGTGCTTCCCACTCTTGGCCTCCTTCTCATCTTCCTGCTGCAACCTCTCCCGCGCCTGGAATGGTAACACACAACACAAGTGGCAGTTACACGGACAAATACACTACGTAAGTCATCATGTGGGGCAGCTTTCAGTACTCAAAACGTGTGCTTCCCAGTCTTGGCCTCCTTCTCATCCTCCTCCTGCTGCCTCTCCCACACCTGTTGTGGTAACACACGTGCGCGGCAGTTATACACTACCTTTTGAGGCACCTAAAAAATCCTCTCCCGTACCTGGTGTGGTTACACACAAGCACGACATTTACACCAAGGCAGTATCTAAATGGTATTGTGTAACAGCTATCAATACTCAGACACGGCATGTGCTTCACGGAAGGGGTCTTTTTCTCTATAAACAAGAGAAACATTTGGACACTGATTCCTAGTTGACACGGCAGTTAGTTGAGTGAGTGTGGTGTGGCTGTTGCTCACCTGTTGCAGCCCCTGCTTGCACACGGTGCTGTGAGGGTCGCACTTCAACCCCTTCTCGTATGCTGCTGCGGCCTGCAAGAAAGTGGATTGGGGAGGGAAGTCTGGAGGTAAACATACAAGTTAAAACCCCATTTTGCTTCCTCGCACACATCGCCGTGAGGGGGTACAGTTTCCACTCGCCTCCCAGGCTCCCAGTACAGTTTCATCTCACAGTACACCACTGCAATACAGAATCCCAAGATGTAATCCACTCTTGATACTCCTGCTTCATCTTACTTGTACAAATAGTTTCATCTTACCTCTATGTATGTATGACATCATCTCTCCTAACTGTCCAGTTTCATCTCACTCTCTGTACAGTTTCATCTCACTCTCTGTACAGTTTCATCTCACCTCCACATACTGCTTCATCCCATAATGTGCCACTGCAATGCGAGAGTACGCCTTTGACCACCTAGGTTGCAACTGCAGTGCCTGAACGGTGGAAAGCGGTGCAGAGGGGTGCAGACGAGTGATAAGAATGAAAATGAGCCTTACTGCAATGCGAGAGTACGCCTTTGACCACCGCGGCTGCAGCTGTAGCGCCTGGATAAGGGGTCGACAATGGTGGAAAGCGGTGGAAAGGGTAGCAGACGAGTGAACAACTAGGAGCAGAATGCAGGGGAGAGGAAGGAGATGAGGATAAGAAGGAATGCAGGGGAGAGGAAGGAGATGGGGATAAGAAGGGGATATGCGCCACTGCAATGCGAGAGTACAGCCTTGCACCACCTGGGTTGCAGCTGCAGTGCCTAGGGAAGAGGTGGAAAGTGGTGGAGAAGCGGCGCAGGCAAAAAGGGGAGAAATCATGGAAAGGGAGGGGATAGGGTTAAGCAGAGAATAACTCCTGGCTGCCTTAGAGTCGACTCAAAGATCACTTAATGGCCGCATAAATGCCAACCTCAAAGATACACCAACGCCACCACACACTGTCGCAAATGGCTATAGCACCATGTGGTAAAGGAGTACAGATATATCCTAACCTTCAGACCTAGATGTGTGCTTGTAACGCACACGGTTATAACGAGTAAAGACATATTTCCTTACCTTCCTGCCATCATGCAATGCCTGCTGAATAAGTTTCATGGCTGCCGCATGCTTGCTACACCAGTAACACGGTACACTACCACACATGCTTACAACACCATAGAGAGAAGGCCTATAACGAGAATATAAAAAAAGCCCTCATACCTTCCTGCCATCATGCAATGCCTGCTGAAAGTTCGTCATGGCTGCATGTGTGCTTGTTGTAACAACAGCAACAGAACACACAGAAGCACATGTTTATAACGAGTAGAGACCCATGCGCCTACCTTCCTGCCATCACGCAATGCCTGATAAAAGCACTTCATGGGTACATGCATGCATGCGTGCTACATCAGAGGTAGTGACATGATACACTACAGAAATGCTTATAACAATACAGCACGATGGCTTATAACGAGTATAGACACATGCTCTCACCTTCCTGCCATCGTGCGATGCCTGCTGAGAGTTCTTCACGGCTGCATGTGTGGTATGCCTGTGACACGATGCCCTATCACACATGCTAATAACGCTATCGAGAGAAGGCCTAAAAACGAGGAGAAAAAAAAAAAAACAACAAAAACACAAAAAAAACGCTCCCACCTTCCTGCCATCGTGCAACGCCTGCTGGTAGTTCTTCATGGCTGCATGTGTGCTTGTAACGCACATGCTTATATAGACCCACGCCCTTACCTTCCTGCCATCGTGCAACGCCTGCTGGAAATTCTTCAAGGCTGCATGGGCGGCTGATCGGTTGCTGAAGAGAACACTCCAGCTGGAAAGGGAAGGGAAAGGGGAGAGAGGTGGGGGAGGAGAGGTGGGGGAAAGAAGGACACATAGGGTGATGAAGGAAGTGCGCAGGAAGGTGCAAGGGCGGCTGATCGGTTGCTGAAGAGAACACTCGAGCTGAAAAGGGAGGCAGGTGAAGGAGTGGGGACGGTGTGGTGAAGGTGAGCGAAGGTGGTGAAGGTGAGCGAAGGTGGTGAAGGTGAGCGAAGGTGAGTGAAGGTGAGTGAAGGTGGTGAAGGTGCGCGAAGGTGCGGAGATGGTGGGGCGAAGGAGGTGGGTGGGTGGTGGGTGGAAGGTGGAGAGTAGGTGGCCTGAAATTGACGAGTCCCACTGCGCCCCCAC